GGATGGTGGGTCCAGGTGGGCGGGGCTTGGTGACTGCTTTGTTGTGACATCACAAAGTTCCAGAAGTCCTGACGGCTGGTTTTAAGGCTCAGTTTCTGAATACAGGCTGTGTGCATTTCTCTGTGGACTGAGGCTTTGATACTTTCACAGTATTAATATAGAAGCTAGAGCTGATCTATAATCACACTACACATGGACAGAGACCTTTAGACTGGATGGAGCTTTAATGGGATCTGTAGTTTTGTCTGTGCTATCATCATGGTTTAACTTTGTTAAAATCACAAGAACTGCTGTAGTGGAGCTGATTTGTGTTAGAAAATGGAAAGTAAACCACTTCATTTTTTCACAAATACAGATGAAAGAAATGCTGAATGAGAGACATTACAGAAAATAGTAGTCCAGATGTGATGTCAGTCGGGCTCTCTAGCAATATCTCATACATAAGACTTCATTGTTACACATATTTCCAGTAACAGTAACACCGGTAAACATTTCTCCTTCGCCTCACCAGTTTCACACAGATCCCGTTAGAAACCAGTAACAATGAGAAGTGTTTACTGCAGGGTCACCTCTGGTCTCTAAGGAACTGAGTCCTGACCCTGCTGATACAAGTGGCAGCACATACAGATTTCCCCTTCTATCCTACACAAACTTCCTCCATCAGATTAAACCTGTTTTCATTCCACAGACGTGCTGCACACACACACACACACACACACACACACACACACACACACACATGCACACAGAAGCAAACCGGCAACACATAAATGTCATGTCCCTACAGTACAGAAAAGAAAAGCCTCATTTTGTCTAATGCCTGAGGTGACAGGCCTCTAAACCGGCTCATCTCCCTCCCCTCGGGGTCAGCGACACGACACACTTCTGCTGCCCTCCTACCAGCAAGTTTTTTATTCCCTCACGGTCTGAACGTTTCACCTGACTAAAACTGACACAGGAAACAATAGAGGAAACCTGTATTAAAAACAAGAGAAAAGGAAAGAAAACACAGGAAATCTGATAAGCGTACATGCACATATCCACTGTAGAGACACACTCGCTGTCCATGCGCAGCAGAGCTGTGGCGGAAAGTCAAAAGTCAACAATTTCCTGTGCTACCTTTGTAATCTGTTTGGTTGAAACATGGACATTTCTACATAAAGAAATCCCTCCAGCATCAGGCGTGTGCACAGTACTACCATTAAAATGCAGCTTGACGAGAATCATCTCCTCGCGGTCTACTGCCTCCACCACTCAGACGAGTTTCAGGTTACACCCCTGTTCATCCACAGTCATATAAAATATTTCTGTGTGAATTCTAGAGTAATGACTAAAAGTGTTTTGTGAGAGCACCGTGACCTTGACCTTTGACCTTTGCCCATCAAACTCTAATCAGTCTCTCTTTGAGTCCAAGTGAGTGTTTTTTTTACTAAATTTGAAGAAATTCCCTCCAAGTGTTACGGAGATACTGCATTCACAAAGCCAGAATCGTGTTTTGCGAGGTCACCACGCCCTTGACCTTTGACCTTTGACCTCCAAAATCTAATCAGTTCATCCTTGAGTCCAAGTGAATGTTTGTGTCAAATTAAAAGAAGTTCCGTCAAGGCGTTATTGAGATATTGTGTAAAGGCAAAATAAAACTACATCAGCCATTTTAGCTTATTTACAAAGAAATCTGCTGCACAAAACCCTTTTTAACCCTTTTGACTCAGCAGGTTGACCTTTGACCTTTGGACAGTGTGTGATGACTCTTTCTTTAACTGGAACTGTTAGAAATAGATTTTAGCTGGTTATTTTTGTAGCATCAGGGTGGTTTCCACCCACAGAAAGAATTTTAAAGTGTAAAGGAAGGACTGGAGGGAGAGACCTGAGGCAGAGACACTGTGTGAGGTGAGAGGGACAGGTGCATCCAGATGTTCTAAAATCAACAGGAAGTTAGTTACTGTAGTTTTTCTCCTATTTATCGTTGTGATCAACATCTGCAGCAGCAGCACTGACTCAGCTCCTGGAGGCATCTAACGCAGGCTACTTTAAAATGATTAGCGCCTGATTATGTCAAAAAATCGGAGTCATAACTCACTCGCACTCACATGACACATATTTTCAGATTCACTGTGACTTACACTTTCTGAGGAAATCTTTATCTCCAATGTGCATCATGCAATTAAACATCCATAATCCTGCTTACAAATCACTAACAAAACGACTCCTTATAGCTGCAGAACTTGCCTGAAAACCATCACAGTTTTAAGTTTTCTTTAGTATCAAAGTAATTCAGGGAGAGTTGTCAATAAATCCAGTGGTAGACAGCAAACAGGAAGTGTTGATAGTGAATTTGTTTTCCTTAATGTAAGCATAAAAATGGGGAAGTTGTAGCTCACATTGTAACTGCATTTTATTCTCTATGGCTTTAAAAAGGTCTTAAAAAGTCTTAAATTTAACTTGGTGCACCGTGACCGGGGCGAGGGCCACCCGTCAGGCTCCTACAGCTCACTCTGGGAGCCAGTCTTTTTCTCTTTGTCTCAACTCTGTAAACTCACAGACTCCTGCTGAAGCCGCCACTAGTTCTTTAAAAAAGTGGCACTGAAAAAGATGACTGGCGTCTGAAGAGACACCGTCATGTCATCGGTAGAAATCCCTGATCTGAAGCAGCTTCATCAGTCCGGTCATATCAGATCTCTCGTTAACTTCAAGGAGGGGAAGAACTGGTTGGTTTTTTAGCTCACAACTGTGGGACTTCCTGTTATTTTCAGACAACATGCTGATGTCTGATAAGTGGATGCCTCAGCTCAGCAGACAGCTCAGTGGCTTATAGATTTTTTTTTTTTGCTGTATTATCATGTGCTGATCAAGAGTGGGTCACATGAAAATCTGCTGTTATAAGATCCTTTTTAACCTGTGAGAGTAAGTTCTGCTCATCGTGTTTGTCTGTGGCCTGAAACCAAATCCTGTAACAAGGAGGGTTTGTAGGTGCAGGTTAAAATTAATCATAATCTTTTTTATTTATCAATCATTTTAGTCATTTTCCAAGCAAAACCTCCACATATTCACTGATTTCAGGTTCCCCCGTCTGAGGATTTGCTGCTTTAATTTTGTTTTATATCATTGGAAACTGAATATCTTTGGGTTTTCTTTGGGTGGTGGATATGTTTCAGTATTTTCTTAGAATTACTGAAATAATTCATAAATTATCAAAATAGTTGTTGATCAATTTTTCTGGCTAAGTCACCGCAGCTTCAGTTTGAGTCATTATTCAAGCAACAACACCAAAACTTTCTCTGGTAGCAGCTTCTCAAATGTGACGATTTGATGCTTCTCTTCCAAGTAATTTCACATTTTGTAGCCGAAACGATAAATTGATTCATTAAGAAAACAACTGGCAGATTACTCCATGATAAAAATCCTCATTAGTTGCAGTCCTACAGCTTTCACTTTACTAACTAAACTTTACTGTCTTGTTTAGTGTGCAAACTCTGCCGAGGAACATCATGTGATACAACAAAAAGCTCCTTCACAGCAGCTACTCAATAGACCTTGTGGTGAGATTGTTAGGACTCTCAAATATGTCGCCTTGGGGTAAAATCTTATCTTTTTTTGGTTTGCATTTGGAGGTCGGTCACAAGAAACACATCAGTTTGTGCTAAACATTACAGCACTGTATGGACACACAGTTAATCTGCATTTGGTTCTAGCTAAAGTTTTATTATTGGTAGTGATGGAGGGATTATCCAGAGCTAATACCACACTGTAAAAATACACCATTACAAGCAAAAGTTAGTGTTTCGAAAGTATTGGAGTATAATCAGGTAAATGTAGCAACATTAAAGGGGCTATTTGTACGTTTTCTCTGCCGCTGAACGTGGTTTCTTGGCAGGAGCAGGTGGTGGTGATTGGGGCTAGCTGGTTAGCATGCTAACTTCAGTAGAAGAGAAGAAGTGATAAAATCAAAACAAAAAGGTTGTCCTCTGTTGGTGAAAGTAAAGTAATAAAGTTTAATGGTCAACTCACAACGTTTCTTCTAGACTGGTAAATAAACAGCCGCTAATGCTAACGTTAGCTACATAACGATAGCAAAACTTACAAATAGCTCCTTTCAGTATTAAAAGTAAAAGTACTCAATGCAGGAAAAGGCCACTGTGAGTGTTATACCGTCATTATATCATTAGATAATTACTGTTAACTGTTAATTATCGATAGTTTAAATTCATACTGTGATCGTTGTTCAGTTGCTTTAACTATTTCTGTGTATAAAGTTATTAAATTCACAGAAAGTACTGTAAAGCTGCAACAGACAAAAAAACACAAAAGTTTGGAGTTAACTATCATATAAAACTCAAAACGCAAATGTTTTCATTTTAGAAGCTGGAATTGGTGGATTTTTGGTATTTTTGCTTAAAATTTTTTTAATTTTTCTTTAATTTTAACTTAAATAATGAACCAACCAACAAAACTGCCATGTGTAGCAGGGGCCCAACAACAAATGTTGGCCCCGGGGCCCTGAGGGAGGTTGATCCTGCCATGTCCACTGATCAACTGACTGGAAAAAATAATCAGCAGATCAATCGATCATGACAATAATCATTGCAGCTGAAAAGTGCAATATTTCCCTAAAATAGTATAAGAGTGAAGTACTTGAGGAAAATACTTAGTTACTGTCCACCTCTGGATATTATTGAGGACATTTGCTGTCTGCAGCCTGCGGAAGGAAACTGAGCAGGAAGTGTCTTGAGAAGTGGGCTGTCCTTATTTTAACGGAACACCGAAAATTTTAGCCAAAAAAAAATCAGGACATTAACGTCCAGTTTCCTGCAGCTTTCTGAGTGTTTCCAGTCCGCACAGTCTGCAGCGGGGAAACGCGTGTTTTATGTCTCTGTTTGACCGGACGCCCGGAGTGGAAACACAAAGACAAGTGCGATATTAAAAACACATTTTATCCCACACCACTGGATCCAAGTGTAAAAAGCTGTGCAAGCTAAGCTAACAGCGGCTAGCAGATGTACCTGGTCGGCCAGTTTGAGGACAGCCATCTCTGGGTCAGCTCCGGCTGCTCATCCACTCCCTCCGACACCGCAGCACCATGCACGGTGCGATGCTGCGCCCCAACCCGGGCTCCTCCTCTGCTGCTCCCCGCTCTCCGCTTCTTCGCTTCACTAATGTATCCGGCCTCTCGTAGCTCACTTAGCACACACACAGGCGGGTGATGATGGTGGTGGTGGTGGTGGTGGTGATGATGATGATGAAGGCCCGGCCGAGCACCAGGGCCATCAGCCCCGCTCCACTGACGCTATGTGCGGCGACGCTGCCGAGCCGAGGCGGCCGCTCGGAGTCGCGGGGAGGCGGGGAAGCAGGAACGGGAGCTTGACCCACCGGTGTAAACAATCCACATTTATGGCCGCTACTGCTGCTGCTGCTGCCGCCGGTTCTGTTGCACGGAGGTCCCCTGCGCCTTTCCCAGCCATACACCACCCACAGAAGCCTCCCTCCTCCCCGGTCTGCACAGCCACAAGCCTCCCGGAGAGGCAGCTAGGCAGCTGAACACAGATCTCACAGGAAGTCGGTGCCTGTCTCTCCTCCTCTCAGATGCAGAAGTGGAGGAGAAGCTTCCTCAGCATCAACAACAACCAGCAGCCCTCCTCGCTGCTGCCATCCACTGGAAACAACTGCACCATCCAAAACTAATAAAACATGCTGCATGAAAAATGAATAGGCTCACAGATGTAGTGGAGTGTGAAGAGACCACTCTCACAGACTGGACTGATGTGGGTTATATGAGGATTAGGGCTGTTTTAAAGGGTCATACCACCGTTTTTACATGATTATTAAAAGAAGAAACTGAAAACACAACATTGTAGAAATTATTTATTTCAGTTATTCACAAAACTTTTTTTTAGAAAACATAATTGCAAAACAAGACACAAAATTTCAGACATTTTAGAAAACATGACAAGGCCAAAACTACGGTAGCCCTGAGGTGCAAAACGCAAGATAGATAGATAGATAGATAGATAGATAGATAGATAGATAGATAGATAGATAGATAGATAGATAGACAACTTTATTTCATAAAACACGACTGTTTGGAAAACATTTTTGAAAATATGACAAAACTGAAAACAACAATAGAAAACATTTATTTCCATTATTAACAAAATGCAACAACTGTTTTTTAGAAAACATAATTACAAAACAAAACAACATTTCACAGAACACATTTTAGAAAACAAGACAAGAAAACTGAAAACAGCAACAATAGAAAACACGACATTGTAGAAAAAACTTGTTATTTACAAAATGCAACAACTTTTTATTTTCAGAAAACAACACAAAATGAAAACACAGTACTTTAGAAAATACTCTAATTGCAGTCTAATACAAAATAGATAAAACATATGCTTTCACCTCAACAACATTAAAATGCTGTTTATACATTGATGCATGAGTAATAATAATATAACTATATAATATACATTATTAGGAGTCATTCTTCTGCATCGGGTATTTTTTACTTATGATACTTAAAATAAAGTACATTTTGTCATTTACATTAACATTCCCAATGCAGGACTTTTACTTGTAATGGAGTATTTTTACTGCATGGTATTAGTACTTAGGACCTGGATACTTCCTCCACCTCTGTCTGCTGCAGCCTCACACACTACAGACTCACTGCCTTCCTCCTCAGAGTAGCAGACCCAGAGCCTGATGCCGTCTGCCCGGGGAATCTGGGTCAAAGCACATGAGTGTGGCTGAATGGAGGAGAGGAAGAGTGGGGGAGGTTTTTTTTTTTTTTCCACTGTGTGGCTATGAGGGTTTCTGCTCTGTGCTTTTATTTTTAGTGATTCATTCATCAGCTACTACATGATGGACACTCAGATGGAGTCCGATGGAGTCCATTACATCAGCTCACTGTTTCACAACACTCACAATTCTTAGACACTTATTAAAGATTTATTAAAAAGAAGAAGCAGAAAAAAGCAGTGTTTATAATTTATTTGAAAGGTTGTGAATCTGAAAAGGAGCCTGTACAACTCCACTGCCTCCATTATGTCAGACTTAGTTCACTCATGTGATGTGAGGGGCGAGTTCACCCTCATCATGACCACGAGCACAGCCGGGCTCCGTGCTCTTACTGCTCTGTCTGGTTGTTGTGTCTCAGCAGGATGATAAGTAGGAAACTAGCTTTGTTGTGTTGCCAGTGCTAAAACTACAGTGGCCCTGAGAGCTCAACACACCGCAGCTTAGGAAAACATATGGAAAGAGACGAACGCTGCAAATTCAGGAAACATCTTCATCAATGTGACACTTTGGGCCTTCAGTGCTGGGAAAACCAGGCTAAACAATCCCAGTTGGCCCTGGGATGTAACAAGCTCTCTGATTGGCTGGAGAGCTAAGCAGTGGGTTTTACAGCACTGAAGGCCCAGAGTGTCACAGAAACGCTAAAAGGAGAAGCTAAACAACCAAGATAATGGATTAGCTAATAAGAGAAGGAAAAGCAGCTGGAAAAAAGGAAAGTGAAGAGGGAATCCAGGTATTCACATTTTTAAACTGTCTTTTCAGATTATATTATTTATTCACAAATTAATGTATTTATAAATCATTTATTTCATGAGTTTTATGCTGATTTTGTAATTCCATTTTTAAATCTTAAGTATTTACTGATGGATTAATCGCTCATTTATAAATCCTTCCAACAATTTCTATTTGTAATGGCTGTTAAAATATGAAATGAAGGAAATGCTTTGTTACTTTTCCTGTTCCATCCCTGGTCCTGCAGTTACACAGTGTGAACTGCGAGGCCTCATATAGACAGCTGTGAGCCTTTATGAACTGTGTCCGATCGATTGAGTTTGCCAATCAAGTCCGAGACACATCTCAAGGATAATTAAAGCGAAGAGGACGAACGTCAGGTCTGAAGACTGCAGTAAATGAGAGATTCCAGTTTTTGATTTTATTTTATTCATTTGCAAAAAAAAAAAACGTCTGTTTTCACTTTATCATTGCAGGATATTGAGTACAGATTGATCGGCAAAAAGGGCAATTTAATGCATTTGAAATCAAATTTACACATTACACATGCAAAAAGTGAAGGGGTGTGAAAACCTCCTGAAGCCCCTGTAACCTTAAACCCTTTGAAAGATGGATGAAGACACTTTTTCCTTTCTTAAGTCTAGAACACCAAATGTTTTAGTCGGGAGACACTGAAGGAGCCCGACACCTCCGAGGTTCAGCCAGCAGATTCATGTGGAATGGATTATTCTATTAATGTGTAGTCAGAGTCAGCAGAGCACAGACAGGTTCAATATATCACCATGATTATAATTGTGGGTTTGGCTGTACTGTACGTCGCAGTGTAGCAGGCGAGGCTTCAGCTGGTTGTCCGGCCTTTAAATTCTTTGAATAAACAAACCCGAGTCGTGACACGCAGTTGATTTTTATACACAAACATTTTATTTGGTTAAATAAAGCAACAATCTAATAAGAACAGAGGAGGTGTGAAACATGGAGAGGGTGTGTACAGCTGATACAGGAGCCTATCAATACACAAAGAACAACAACAAAAAAAAAATATTCCAAATCTTAAAAACATTGTCATGACTGCGCTGCATTCCTCTACCAAGGCTCATCTGACCTTGACCATTCCTCACAGGGAACACTCAAACAAAGAAAAATTAAAAAAAATACATACAGACTCCACAATGTTCTTCTTTTATTTCCCCTAATATCACGCTCACTTTCAATCAAGGATCAATAAGTGGCATTCAGGACACGGACTGTTCAGACCGACATACAGCCGCTAAATTAAACTGACTCAGTCCTAAACCGAGAGACAGAGAGAGAGACAGAGACAGAGAGAGAGAGAGAGAGAGAGCGAGAGAGAGATGGATGCCGGAGGAGGGTGATGGTCGAGGGAGGAGAAAAAAAACAAAGACCACACGAATTTGTATTTACAAGACGTACTCGAGCTCGTAGCGGACGTAAATGTTTTTCTCGTCGTTGTTGACTTGTGGGTAGTGGGCGATGAGGGCGTCTTGTGAGCCGATGTAGATGGAGTTGTAAATCTTCCAGTAGACGTCTCTCACCTTCCTGGCCGGATGGAACAAACCCTGGAGAGACAAAGGACAGTGTTAATATACAACAACACAGATTATGGAAAAGTACTTCCTCTGCAGATCTTTAAAAAAAAACGGATGGAGTCTGTTTTAGTTAGTATCATATGAAAACTCAAGTCAACCACTGTCCTGCACAGAACGAGGACTGTGGACTTTGTGGTGCTTTAGGAAGAGATCAATTCAATCATCTACAAACTGCTGTAGTGCACAAAGAAATCTGCAAAATAAAGTTTTTATAACGTATGTTTACCAGCTGTCTTATAGTTATAGTTAATAAATGTGTCTAATATTTGTGTCATTCTATTTCTCCCTGGAAACTGTGGATATTTGTGCGATGAGAATGTAGTAAAAATCAATAAAAACGTGAATGATTTGTCAGTATTGGAACATTCTTCAAAGTTAAACGAGGGCTGGTGCTGGTCGTCCTCACCTGTAAGCAGTACTGCAACATGCGGCAGGGTCCGATGGCCACCCTCAGCCCCTCCAGGGCGCCCATGACCGCCTGGATCACGTGAGGCGACGTCTCGAATACATTGGGCCACACGTAGTTCAGCAGGTGGTTGAGCGAGTCTTCGCAGCCGAAACCGTAGACGCCCAGAGACATGTGCTGGACGACGGCGCTGGCGGTCTGTCTGTGGACCAGGTCTCTGCAGGATGACAGAAGCACAGGGGTCGACGCTTTAGTATTTTTACAACGTCCCTCTGAGAAAACAACTTGTATAAAAGGCGCGATGATGTAAACAGGTCCGGGAGGGGCTGAGTGACTCACCTGTCCATGAGCGCGTCCTCCAGCAGCGGCGTGACAGCGTAGATGTAGTCTTTGCCCATCTCTCCGATGTACTCGAACAGGAAGGAGAGGGACTTGAGCACGCCGTTCTGCACGTTGAGCTCGGGCACGCGGTATTCGTTCATGAGCGCCGGCAGCACCGTGAACGGCGAACAGGTCTCGGCGACGATGGCGATGGCCACGGTCGTGCAGACTCTGTTCTGACGCTCCTGGACCTTCAGGTTGTTGAGCAGAGTGGCCAAGACGTCGTGGGGACTGAGAGGAGAGAGGAGGGGCAAAGAGGTTTTCGGTTAAGACTTTTACAATTATAAACTGCAGGTTCACCAACATCAGTTTAGACTTTTTAACACCACGCAGAATAAAATGTAAAACCTTCATTCATATTCGAACACAACTAAACGTGAAGCTCTGGCGTCTGCCGCTGTTTTAACTCGACAAGCAGCATTACTGAGATAGCAGGACAGAGACAGAGACAGAGACAGAGACAGAGACACAGTGTTTTGAGAACATAATGTCGCGCCTGAAGCGGAGGAGAATTTGCTGTGTGCGAATCTGATTTTTTTACAGGGTTGTGGGATCATTTCTGACATTCTTTCAGAGCTCACATGTGGAATGAATATCTGGTGTTTTCACTGACATCTTACACTCGACTCCTTTGCATTTTATTCTATCATTTTCTTCCCTATTTATTTATTGTAATCGTTAATATTTGCTCAAACCACCCTTCAATTCTTTCATGTAGTTATCGTGTCCAAAGACCTTGGTTTATTTGTTGGCGTGGGCGGGACTTGACGGTGGAGATCGGTTTCCTGATCCACGTCAAAGAACGTGAGTTGACAAGAATTTACATTTCCTCTTGGTTAAAAAAATAAAAAAATGTATAAAAGATTTTTGAAAAGCCAGTGAGCTTCCTCTCCACTGTAGCAGCAGCATGTCTCATGGAGTTCACTGCAACTAAACTCAGTGCTGTGAAGGCTTTAAGACTTAAAGATACTCTGAACGGCGACAATTAAAATCCACATAAACACAAAAAGATCTTGACAAGGATTCGACAGGTGGCACTCACCCAATGGCTTTGGCGATATAACCAAACGTGTTGACGGTGGCTCTGCGGATGGCCTTCTTGTGAGCCTTGAGCAGCTCCAGCAGCTCAAAGCAGATCCTCATCCACTCCCTGGCCGACACGTATTCAGCGCCCCTACAACACACACACACAGGAGGAGGAGTCAGGATGAGCCGCAGAGGTTCTCACCGCACAAACTGAAGCGACACTACAATCACTGATTCACGTCACGTCATGCTACTGACCTGTCGGCGATCCTGCCCACCAGGTCGATGCAGTTCTCCTGCACCTTCTCGTGTCTGTTCTTCAGGATGGGAGTCAGACGAGGAAGCAGGTCTTTGATTGGTGGAGTCATCTTGTGCATACCTGGAGAGACGATGAGAAGAGAGGATGACGAGAGAGACGATGAGAGAGAGAGAGAGAGAAACAAGCAGCGATCGAGGAGAGAGCGAGAGAGGAGAAGAGATCGAGAGAGAGAGAGAAGAGAGGAGGAGAGAAGATGAGAGGAGAGAGAGAGAGAGAGAGAGAGAGAGAGAGAGGATCCGTTATCTTTTCAGATGTTTCACTGTTCACACTCTTTTCTAAAGATCCTTTTCCAGGACATTTTCAGTGATGCTCCAGCTCATATGACAGACAGGAATCAGCCTGTTGAAGATTTAAAATAAGTGAAGTCTATTCTTGGCTAATCTTATCACTTACATGCTTAATTAATTATGAAATAATCGACAAATTCGATTCAGGGTGCATTTTACTTTTACTCTCCTTTTCCATATGTGTTTTCCATGACTGGTCAACTGACTTCCAGGTTTTCCAGGACGCGTGGGAACCCTGCGTTTGCATTTCTAAACACTGAAATCTGAATGAACCTGCAACCTGGTTGTAGATGAAGGTGATGTGGTGAGGTGACGTACCGATAACATTCACAATGGCCTTCAGTGCTCCCAGGATGCTACCCAACACCTCAGGGTACTCCTCTCCCAGGTACTCGTACAGCACCACACCCAAGTGACCCATCAGTTTCTCCTGCAGACACAGACGAGGAAAACGTGCATTAGTTTCTAGACTACGTCACGTGTTTGGATCTTTGAACGTGTGTGTGTGTGTGTGTGCGCAGAAGACTTCACACTGTACCTCCTGGCAGGTCTTCATGACGACAGCTGTGCGGGAGATCAGGTCAGCGGCCTGCTGACGGACTTTGGCCGACTTGTTGTTGAGACGCCACAGCACCGTACCACAGATCTGAGGCAGGTAGGGTTTCACACGCTTCCCGAGCGCGTTCACCACCGTGCCGAAACCGTTCAGCATCACCGAGTCCTGGAGGGAAAGGAAAGGGAGGAGGTTAACAGCACAGAAAGAATCCGTGAAGACGATGTTTGACTTTGCACATTTCATAACAGACTGATCACAGTCATGTCTCTCACCTCTGTGGTCTGTTCCTGGAAGGCGTACAGGATGCCGTCGATCAGCTGCTCCTCCAGCTTGTGGTCGATGTCGGCGGCGCCCAGGTTGCCCATGATTTTTTCAATGGTCTCCATCACCATCTTTCTGTACTGCTCTGCCTCGTCTTTCAGGTCGTCAACGATGCGAGAAATGATCTCAGCTGCTCCCACTTTGTTGGCCAACTCCACCGTGGTGTCCACCAACTGCACGAGGACAAAGACGAAGCAAACACTTTAGAGACGTGTTTTTAAACGACACACGGCTACGTACAAGTATTGTGTTCTGTGTTCAGAAACAGAAGCACCATATCACATACTGTCATAAAAAGATTTTTATTTTCTGTAGATATGAAGCTGATAAAGATTTATTATAAAAGGTTACAGCTGATTTAATTCTCAGTTGAACTAGATTTGACCAGTTACAGGCGACCACACAAGTGTTTCACTTCTTGTCAAATGCCCTTTTTCTATTTTTGTCTCCATAGGAAATGAGACCATGATCACATATAAGGGAACAAGTAACTAAGTTGATCAAGTGACATATAAGTGCTATGAGAAGGGACAGTCATGAAGTTGTTAAAAGATATACAAGAATATGTTTTTAGGCATCTTGGATTCATTATCTTGACAAAGTTTCACACCACGTAGTCCAGCAATCTAAGAATTGTCCTTTGTGTTTTAGTTAAACTCGATCTTCTGCGTTTGCTCACCTGTCTGTAGTTACGTCTGTCCAGAGCCATCCTGTGCTGCCAGAAGTGCTTGAAGAAGGGGGGCAGGATCTCAGTCTTGATGTAGTTGGCTTCCACACCATCAGTGCCACAACACTGCTTCACCACCTACGAGACACAACACAAGGGCAGGTCAGAGAAGGAAACCCGTGGCCCAGGACATCCACAAGGTTTTCGGGGTTCGAGTGTTTTCTTTGGTCTGAACAGATTAAACCTGATTTCAGCCCAGAATCGATCTGGTCCGGCAGATACATGTAGTGTGAGTTAACACAACGTTAATAAAGTGCAGTATCTGCACAGCTTCAGGCCACACGGGTTTGTAAGTGTAACCAACGGGTGCAGGGTGAGAACAGAGGGGACACCGGTGTCAGCTCTGCTGGTTCTCATGTTGGTGTTACTGTAGCGAACTACTAGCCCTGCTGCAGCCATGTAACGGCTGAACAGGCGAGAATGAGTCGCAGGAAGCCGGACGTAGGGTTTCAAGTCATTCTCCCCTTCACTTACCTTGAGTACAATCTTCTTCATCTCCTCGTCAGGGGACTGGAACTCTCTGATGAGGATCAGCATCACCTCCCTGGTGTAGTAGTTTGCATACTCAGCGTCCATCAGTGGGATCAGGTAACCAATAGCTTTGAGGAAAGCAGCCAAACCCTGGTGACAACGGGGGAGGAAATAAACTGTAAATACAAACATAACTCACTGATCGTGGCTCGTAGACCTTAATAACAATAAATGTCTAATGCTCCCAGCAGAGAACTAATGTTGTTCACCTGACCTCTACTGAGAGCAGCAGCCCCTTCAAGGAGACACTATAGCAAGCAAACATTCACACTGTAGCCACGTGAAGGCTGAGTGCTGGGTGTGGGTCTTGCACTGAATTCTGTTTCTTCTTCTCCCCCAAAAACAAAGTGACAAATAACTTTTTATTATCTGGACTTCTTACCTTTCCTCTGTGCTGTCTGATACCCTTCCACAGCGGCTTGAGGACCGAGTCAAAGGACTCGATACCGTAAGGTGTAGCAGCTTCAGCGAGAGCAGCAATAGCCAGGGCGCTGATGGTCCTCACCTTCTGCTGCTCATCCACCAGACCTGTGAAGTCACACAGTCAAAAAAACAAAACAAAACAACAGTCAGAGCCTGAGCACGTTATATTCCACACTTTGTGATCGTGTGTTTGTTGAATAATTATGAACTGAGTCGGTTTCAAGCACATTTTAAACACATTCTAGGGTTAGGATTAGAGTGACGCAGTATAAATATGAGCAAAACTGATATCTGGTGATAAGAAAAACACCTGAGAGGTTGGCAACTGTGTCTACATCACAGATCATTTCACATGTTTATATTCAGTCAGAATGAGATCTGTACTCTGGAGGAGAATCTGTTTCCACATGTAATGTAATTGCAACGTCATGACTGGCTTGTACATGAACAGCTTTCAACATAAATGTCTCCATTTGATTGTAGCTTCAAGCTGATTCGCTTCTGTAATCCGTTGGCAGTTCAGATCAGCCGTGAGAACCAGAGGATTCTTTGAAACTGGAAGTAGACAACTCACAATGCTTCTGCATGTGATAATAAAACTAAAAAAGGCTGCAATCACGTGCGTTTGCTGCTTTAAAAATAAAAAAGGGTGTCATCTGATAAAGATTGAAGTCTACAAAGACCCGACTGACCGTGCTCGATAATCTCCACCAAGCTGCGAAGGTGGGGCAGGATGGCGCAGCCCATGAGGATGGCGATCTGCTGCACGATCTTGATGCCTGTGTGCCGGGCCTGCCAGGATTTCTTGCTTTTACACACGGCTTTGAGGAAGGGCAGGAGAGAGGGGATACCGAGGGCGGAGGCCACCACGGCGAAGGCTCTGGCCGTGGTGTTTCTGACGTACTCGTCCATGTTGTCAATATCGGGTCGCATTGTGGAGATCATCGTGGCCAAACCAGCAGCCTGGGACGGACAGGAGGAAGACAAACGTCAAATATCTGAGTCATCGCCAGACATTTAGTGACCAGGTGCTCGAATGTCATTGATCAAAAGGAAAGCTGCAAACATCTGTGTCAATAACTCTCCGTATATTAAGACTGAAATGTTTTATCTGTCATCACTGTGAAAAGGGTTAATATTTATCAAATCAATAAATAAGTGAATTGTGATTGTAACCAACGGGTGCAGGGTGAGAACAGACGAGGCATGAAGGTCAGGTCTGCTGGTTCTCGTGTTGGTGTTAATTTAGCGAACGACTAGCCCTGATCTGACCACGGATTGGCCGTACAGGCGAGAATGGTTCGCAGGACAGAGCGTGCATCATTTATGAATTTGGGAAAAAAAAAGAAAAGAAAAAAAAGCAGCTCCACGTTACCTTTGCCAAGTTAGAGATGATTTCTCTGCCTTCTACTCTGGCATAGTAGTCCTCATCAATCAGCAGCGGCTCAATCACGACCAGGATCTGGACACAAAGAGGACAGTCAGTTACTTTTCTCAGACACAATCCACTAAAATAAGAGCGCGTCTTTTATCTGAGCCTACCTTGTGCACGTATGGTCGAACCAGGTCATCCAGTTTGTAGAGGATGCGGTCGATCACTTTAACCAGCAGGTGGCGCTCCTGGTCCTCCAGGGTGGGCGACATGAGCAGGGGCAGGATCTGGTTGAACAGAGGACCTGCTCCGAATTCACGAGCCTTGTCTGTGATCTGACGCAGAGCGGCCTGAAGACAAGAGAGGAGAGGATCAATCAGATGATGGATCAATCAATCAGACAGACAGTCTTCAGTCTCCACAGATGTGATGACATCATGCTCCCAGCAGAGCATGATGGTCTACACTCTGACCTCCACTGAGAGAAGACGGACAGAAGGAGCTCATGGAGAATATACTGGATTTTGGGACTTGAAGCCTATTGGAAATCAAAACAGTGACCGACCTTCCTCATGGGGGGCGTTCCATTTTTAATTTTCAGCAGCAGCTTCATGATCTTCCTCTCCTTCTGCTCCTCGGGACTCAGCGTGGACTCGTCCACCTCCACCTAACACGAGCACACAGAGTCAGACACGTTGAACTTCACACCAGGACAAACATCAAAGCCGCTGATTTCACAGTGTTTTAGCACAAATGTGATGCTCACCAGCAGCTTGTCAAAATACTGGATGTCATCGGGTTTGAGGAAGGGGAGGTTTCCTGAGGGCTGGTCGTTCATCTGTTTTGTGGTGCGGTCCTCCGCCTGCATGTGGAAACCCGTCATGCCTCCGATCGGGGTGGGTGTGGCCGACAGCTTACGGGCTGGAGTACGGATCGGCACGTAACCTGCTGGTGGAGGCAAGACCTGTGGAGAAGAAAAACAAACTGTCAACACCGTGACACCTTTAATTCATATCTACTCATGCTTTTGTCACTAGAGAATTAAACAATAAAAAGGACAAGGACCTTGTATCCCTCTGGAAACATGGCATCAAGCTCCTCGTCTGTGAGAGGCCGGTTTCTTTCATCGATTTCTCTCTCCCACCTCCACGCCTGCAGCTGCTCTGGAGTCATGCTCATCAGGTGACCTGCGGAAAACAGACGAGGAAACTGATTTACACACAAGGTAAAAACAAAAAGGGACTTTGGGATCTATTGAATAAAACTGAAATGAAAGGAGGAACACATCGAATAGTTACAGCTCGTTTACCTGGCGTTGGGGTCGCCATGTTCATAGCTGGTGTTCCTATGGGAGTCTTTCCAGGGGTGAGCAGTGGTGTGGAGGATCCCATCTGACTGGCAGGCGTTTCATCCCACCGAGACTTCCTCTTACTCGCCCCCGGGGTCGGAGTCTCGCCCACCGACTCGTCTCCTCTGTCTGTGCGAGGGGTTTCAGCCCAGCCGCTCCCGTGTCCCGGGGTCTCTCTCTCTGTCTTCGGGGTTTCGTCCCAGCGGTTCTTGCGCACGCTGCCTGTGGCTCCACCGTGGCCGGGTGTGGCGTGGCCAGGGGTGTCCCTGCCAGGGGTGGCGGCGCCTGCAGGTGTGTGGCTGGGGGTGGGGTCCCACATGCGGGTACTGGGAGTGGCCCCTGGGGTCTCGCTGCCTTTGGGGCGACCGGGAGTTTCGTCCCATCGGCTGTTTGAGGGTGTGTGTGCAGGGGTGTGTCCTGGAGTCTACAAGAGATCGGAAACAAAGAAAATCTGAGATTAGAAACACGAGTGGGGTTTTATTTATTTTTTCTTTTCATCATTTAAATATTTTTACTTGTGCATACTGCACAATCTATTTTGATTCTTAATCTTGAACATAAAACAAGTGAGACAATTTACAGCTTCAAAATAGTTGTCCTGCATTAGTGGTTTCACAACACTGAGCTCTTAAATTATCGATCAGCTGAGGTTTGAGTGGCTCACCTCAGCAGCGGTGTCAGCCTGGTCCCAGCTGGACATCTTTTTGGGTGTAGCATTAGAAGGGGTTTGGTCAGCTGTCTGGTCCCAGCGACGCTTACGTTTTGTGGCTGCTTGGGAGGCAGCGGACCCGTTGACAGCTTTCAGGTCCCCTGATTTGGCCTTCTCTGCCAGCTGCTGACGAATCTCTCTCTGAAAAAGGCACAAAAACGTCAGGATAAATGACACAGGACTCTCTAAAGGATTAACATGAATCTGGAAGTAGTTTGAAGTTCATCGTCAAAGAGAAAAGACGGCAGCTGCTTACCTCCTCTTTGGACAGGTTCTGCTCTAACATGACGTCCACGTACGACCTGACCTGCAGCTTGGGGTCCGGCGTTTTGCCCCCTGCGCGAAAGAGCACGAACAAGAACATAGGACACTCATCAGTACACACTCCAGGGACCCCAGTTATTACAAACACAGCAAGCACACACACAGCCAGCTAACCCTGACTCGTTACCAACAGATTAATTTATGTTCCTGCTTTTTTTTTCTCTTTAAAAACAGCTGATTCACAAAACAAAGTCATACTGAATTACATTCAAATATACATTTGCCTTTCTTACATACAGTCATAGCATTCTAGTGGAAAAACAAGCAGATACATAGAGAGAAGAGCTGTGGTTGTGGTGTTTTCTTTAAGTGGATTAAGAAGTTATAGCCATCACTGATGCAGGGGTCCTGGGCTGTGCTCTTCAGAATACGTACACTTTCAGTGCCAAGGGTCCTTCTGCAGTCAGACTTCAACCGGCAGAAAAGAAGCCTAGAAAATTTCTCTTTACCATTAGTAACACTTTGGAAAAGGGTTTGAACTCACACACAACAGTATACCACCTGTGTTGCATTGATTTACGGCACTCAAAAAAACAAAGCATCTTCTTGGGGGCATCATAACCTCAAAACTAAGGAAAAATTCATGTGAGACCCGAAGGTCCAGATTCCCAATTATTTACACTATGAAGTCAAGATTTTTGAGGTTACATCTAGGAATGACATTACCACAGTGCAATCAAAAAAGAGAAGCATCTACTTTTGCATTTAAATATAAAAATGAGGCAAAAGATAAAAAGATAAAAGATAAATCAAGCCCAACCGTCAGAAATATGATCATATGACATGCCAGTGCCACAATGACTCTTAACAGCACTGGTTACTATTTAATCGTCATACATTTAGATCTTGACTTCCTTTTCAGGACAAAGGTCACTGATAAAACAAGGCAAATATATGTAGTCAAATCTTTGGGCAGTGATTTTTCCATCATCAGAATTTGTATCCAAATTTTCAGGATATTGAAAAGCCAAATAGAAAAACTAAAAGAGGCTCTGGGGGTGGTTGAGGTTTGTTGTAGCTGGGCTGCATCTGATTCCCCTCACAGGCCCCAAACAAGCAGCCAGTGGCTCCCTGACCAAACTGACAAGTTCACAGTTTTCTGTGTTCCCCATAACCTACACAGGATGAGTTGCTGCACCCTTAACAGAGTGCAGTACAGGACTGGCAAAGCAGTACTGCTGTAGGAGAGAAATTAAGGACAGTTAGTATGGGCCTGTGGTATTGTGGTACACAATTTTCTTGATAACATATTTCTATTTTACAGAGAGAGTTGTAAAATAAAAATATATTTACACAACAACTTTGTACAAAGAGCTCTCTCTACATGCAGGCTTCAGATGAGCCCTACCTAAGACCAACCCTGAGACACTCAGGGCCGTTTAAGCTCATCTTGTCAGGGGAAGTGAAGATGCAATAAACTAGCTGGCTTATAATTATCATTTCATGTGTTACTCTAAATACTTGCATGTTGCTGTACTTACAATGCCATTTCCAGGCATCGTTAAAAGTTTTGCTAAACTAAAATAGTTCATTCAGGATAATCTACATAAACTCAATAAGCTTAGCACTAATTTATAACTAGCTTGTTATGCAGTGTCCTAGGCTGACGCCCAAGAACCTCATTTATGCATCACATTTGACAAGCCAACAGAGGTGGTTGAGTTACGACAAGACATTTAAATTACAGCCCAGACAAAGAGGAACTGGGTCAACTAATGAGGCCTGATTGACAGTTTATGACTTTTAAATCCTGGGTTGACTATGCCAGCATATTTCTCTCCTCTGCCTGCTCTGGGATCTACAGCTCTGTCTACAAGCGAACAGTTTATTGTTTGGCATCAGCTGCTGTGCTCAGCACGGCATGGCACAGTGCATTAGCAGATCAATTACACCATAGCTAACCCTCAAACTGTCTCGTCCTCATATGCTATGACAAGAGGACACTGCACCTTCCCATCAAAATTTAGGCTGATGCTAACATGGGATTGTTAACCCTTCGACTCACACACAACCCATCTGCGACCCACGTTTGTTAGGTGAATTCCTCCTTTTGAACATTGAGCACCTAACCACCTCTCCCCCTGAAAAGCATGGTAACCCGACAGTGGGTTTAATTCTTTAATGCACACATCAGGGTAAAACTTTTATTTTGCACACTGAAATTATGACAATAATATTTTCCAAACCAAAATACTGAAGACAATCTATGAGCCCACACTGACATTTGTTGCAAAGTGGAAGTTGATGCAAATGTAGATCATATATTAGGAAGAAAAGGTACAATGACACAAAAACAATTCTTGGACCACACAGGATTGACCACAGGGAAGGCATCAAGTCTGGGAAGCAAGCTATTGCATTGTGGTCGAAGGGTTGAACAGCACAACTATGGATGTAAAACCATTGGCAGTCATGGGGGGTCACAAAAAGTGAACCGTGAAAAGGGGGAGGAAATGGGGAAGATGTAATGAAAACAAAAAATAGCTAAATTTACCGTCTGCAAACGGGTCGAGACGCTCGGGTGAGATGATCATCTGTCTGCGCCGGGCTTTGTACTCATCTTCCCGTTCTGCGATCTTCTGAGGACGATGCTCTGCAAATGGGTCATACTACAAAACCAAGATGGGGTATAGAGTGTTAGTATTTCCAAATTGAAGATGCTCTGGGAACAATTAAAAAAACGACTGTTTGACTTAAAAATTGACATTTGCGAGACAGTAAATTAACACGTACTTGTTCATCTGACTGAGGAATGGCATTGAGTATTGCCACTGGTGCGTGGTACCCTGGCTTCTTTTGTCCCAACAAGCTTGTTGATGTATCATCTTCATCATCCTGAGGGAAGGAAGAGAAACAAGAGTCTAGTCAAATCTCGCCAAAATGGCAAGATTCTCCCAGCTCGTATACAACAGGCAAAGAGGAGCAGTCAAGCTCCAACAAAAAAAAACTGTGGGATTGCAACAAAACTGATGCGTAAATATAATAACATTATTTAGACAAAGGATGACTGGACTTGGACTTAGCTGCTCTGAGCCTCAACTTACTTGAGACTTGAGTAGATTTTACTTATCAACCCATGAATATTGAAAAATGCAATATAGTGCATAGTTTTGCCTTCTGGAGCTCTGCTAAACTGCCATGAATAATTAAAAACATAACTGGGATGCATGCAACGTCACCACAGCATGTTGGCACCAGAATAACAAATACTCTGCAACTACCTGGGAGAGGGGAGTGTTGAAGAAACATGGAAAATTTCATGTATGCCCTGAGTAGGGAAACACTTACATCTTCCTGTTCATTGGCGGCAATTGAAGTGACATATCCAGCAAAGCGACTGTCGTTGCCTCCATAGATCTCCTGGTCAAAAAAGCCAGTGGAGACAAGGCCCACTCCCTGCTCTCCCTCCTCCAGCAGGGAGGCCTTCATCCCCTGGATCTCCAGGATCTGGGCCTCGATATCTACAAAAATATGAACAAACACACATAAGAGGATGAGATATTATATAATTACCAAGATATTCAACTATTTCATGCAAAATATAGAATATATAGTATTATAACACTTTATAATACTGCCCCCAGCTTGCAGTGTTTGTCAATCATTGTTTGAGTCAGGTACCAATAAAATATTCATTGTTCCAGTTGGTACTTAAATGTAGGTACAGTGGAAGTAAACAAGACTATGGGGAGTAACAACTGGGCATTTTAGAGGAAATGAGAAATAAATCACAAGTATTTTTGTGCTGATTAACAGTTCTGGAAAACAAAAGTGAAGTTGGGAAAAATAGTGTTAACCTTTTTCTATAGATTTTTCTCCCTGGATGACAACACAACTGAGCATCTGAGAAAGATAAGTTTGTTTTTTTCTTCCACATTGACCAATTTGCTGACTTTCCCTTATTTCAAATTATACAATTAGAGTAGAAGACATAAATAGCACATACACTAATCCCTAGAGTGAGGTTGTAGCTGTCTGTTGAAGGCCAAGGCTTGTATATTGTCTTTTCTGCTAGACAACATAGTGATGCAATGAAGGGAAATTTAAACATACATTTTGTACTCTTTAATTACACAATGGTTAACACAATCTTCTCCGATTTCAGTTTTGTTTCCCAGTACTTAAACACTTCAGATGTTTCAGAATAATTCAGTAAGAATTTTGTTGGATCTGAACCCAAGAAAACGGTAGCTACAGCAGATCAGAACAGATTTGAAGGATAGAGGCATAGAACCACCACTCAGTGTGGTTCATAATATCTGTAACAACCGAGCCGAGAACATCTTAAAAGACCACTTTGGAAAGGTCAATTTAACCCAATCAGTGATGATGACTTGAAATACTTTAATTATATTAGTGAAAACACACAGAAAGGGCGATTTCACTGCATTTTTTCTCCCATTAGACTACATCAGACCAGGCCTGCATCAGACAACACAAGACTCAGACTTGTCAGATGTGGACCACATAAACACAGAGAAGCTAAAGACCGATTAAAACACAGCGTTTAGCCTGTGAAACTTAAGAACTGGAAGCTAACTTTAGCGCCGTGTGTCCGTGATGGTAACGTGCGGTCGAGTCGTGTTATTAACTGGGTTAGCAATTGGAGAAGCGTCATAGCATTCAAACAGCAGTAAATGTTCACATTACACAACAAAACATATATTTATTAATTTAATGACGCCGGTTAATATGTTTTTGAAGTTACATATTAACTAACTAAACTATAAAAGTGGTAAATTTTTCACGGTGTCGGTGGCTAACTAGCGCTAACAAGCTAACAACCAGCGCCATTATCTAAACCGTCCGCGTTGCGTCGTAACAAGGCCTGCAGATTATCACGTTTAAAAACAACAAATTCATACATCAATTCGTGCTCCACACACTGCAAAGTTTACAGCAACAGTTCATGATATATACTGTTGTAAAAAAAGTGATCTGAAAAGGACGCTGTTAATAATTTTTTGCAATTAATTTACCTTCGTGCGTTTTGGCGATCTTCGCCATTTTGGTGGTGGTTGTTGGAGTCTGAAACCGGATGTGCGTTAATCTAGACTTCCGTCTTTTTCCAACTGCTCTCAGATCAGTTTCAAATGTTTATTAAATGTTAGTTGTAAAAAATAAGTACTGGAAAAAAAAAAATCAAAAACAATTCGGAATTTAAAAAAATTACTCAGTTATAAGCAAAGGTCATGCTGTCAAAATTATACCTAAAAATAAAGTATTTTCGTCAAAATAAAATTAAAGGACCGAAAGTAAAACTAATAATTATGTATGATATTTACTCCAAACCACTCAAAACAGTGCTGGCAAGATATTTTTCTTCAATAAAACTTCCAATATACTTCACTACAGTTACTGTTACTGTTTGGAACTATGAACACATACTTAAACAGGTGACCCTGTCCTACTTCTCCTTAAATACACTATCATGTACGTGTATCGTTTTGTTAGCTTATTTTATTTTTATTTTTTCTTGTGATCTGTCTGCTGTAGATGATGCATTCCTTATTTCGCCAGATTGTTATAAATATCTTGTCTTATAAATGGGAAAAATCACAATAAATTCAGAGTTAAAAAATGTGGGTGGAGATTACACACGCTGTTTTTATTTACTTCTTTTCACTTTCAGCCCAAACTTTTGCATTCAACAATGCAATAAAACAAAATAACATCTGAAACAGATGGTGGAAATCTTTGCCATATTATAAGTCAATGAGCGTGAGTATGTGTGTGTGTGGATAACCTCAAAGTGCACTGGATCTGTGTGTGTAAAGGTTACTCAGTGCAACCTAAGCCAACATCTCGTGACATTCCTATACGCGCGCGCTCGTGCACGCGCCAAACGCAAACGTCAGTAATGCCGTCTGACGAACGGCAAGACTGGCCAATGGCGAACGCTCGGAGGGTACGCACGGTCCAATGGCAAGCCGAGATACGGAGGAGGGCGTGACGTGGTGGGGGGTGGTGGGGGGAGGGAGCGGGTCAAATCTGCGGGCACTGATGCTTGTTAACTGAGCGAAGGGATCTGTCAAAGAAGGGAAGATGGCGAGAGGTGGCAGGAGCTTGAGAAAAGTAGCTGATTGCTTGAAACAGTTACCTTCTACAGCCAGCCGGGAAATACAGACTAGGTACAACGTCAGGTAAAGTACATTTTATCTTTTTACTCGACTAAACCTGGGAAGTGTCGAGGAAGACAGACATCGCGCAATAACAAACAGCCGTTGTAACGTACAACATTTTAGCTTTTCAGTCAGTTTACACAAAGTTGGAGCTTAAGACGTAGCAAGCAAAAGAAATACGTATTTAACTCTGGATAAGAAACATGCAAACAACGTCTCTAGTGGAACTATAGTAACACCTTAACACCTAAGTCAATTAACTAACGCTGTAATACTTCGAGTCCCCCATATTTAGCAGTTATAAACAGTTTACAAACATCTGCTGCATAAACAGAAACGAATAATAAACTAAAATCTGCCTTAATATTATTATTATATTATTATATTATCATCTGTTATTATTATTATTACCAATGAGCTACTGGACACATGAATTTCCCAAGGGGCTAAATAAAGTATCTATCTATCTATCTATCTATCTATCTATCTATCTATCTATCTATCATAGGGGAAGTTATAATTGTTGATAAATAGTGTAAATAAATGGTGGAATGCAACTAAGCTATGACCTAATTCCTCCAGCATCATAGTCACTGGCTGTGCCTGTTGTTAGTTCATGCTTTACATCTGATTAACTTAGTCCAGGTGCAAATCACTATATAACAACAGCTTAACATTAATGGAAGTAGTCAAGCATTCAAACAGGTCATTTACGGTATGTACCGTAAGTAAACATAGCATTACCAAACTATAACAGTACTCCAAACCCATTCAAAGTTGCTCTCAACTAAAAGTACACATGCATTATCAAGACAAAACCACTACTGTTAGGTTGTGTAATCTGTTAAAATGCATGATATTTTATAAACTTATACGTATATTTTATATGTTAACTTTTGATTTTCAAACTATAGCTGTCAGATAAATGCAGTGGAGTAAAAAGTACAATATTTCTCTCTGACATGTAGTGAAATAACAGTATAAAGTAGCAGAAAATTAATATACTTGCCCATATTTGGCCTAAATTCACTAAGTTACATTCTACTCCTGCAGCCTAACTATCTTAATCAGTCCAGGAGCGAGAAGTTATAGCTATAACTACATGTCAGGAGTTTTTAAAATCTGTTAACAGCTGTTGCATCTACATGGCGTTTTGCAATATCTCTGGACATCAGAGCACATTAAAGTTTAATTTGGCTTCATTAAACTTGTGAGAGCGTGCAATATTCGGTTTGTAAACTACCTCTCTTTGTGCAACATATGTTGGCTTTGACCTGAATCTGCAACTTACTGGGATCAAATGTGCACACTGTCCTTCTTCCCAACCATAACTCTATACACTTGCATGGACTTGTCAGATTGAGGTCAGTGCCAAGTGTCAGCTTAGCTGTATCACTTTTCAGGTTTTAGTGAATGGGCCTCTCTTTGAAGTGACCTGCAGGCCAGCAATGGACCAGGAATTTGAAGCAGCGCATCATGAGAAGCGCAGAATAGGTTTGGTGGGTTTGGTGGTTTGATGACATTGATATTGTCACATCACATTAAGCGGTGACATAATGGGTAGTTAAATCTAAACATACGCCTTGAGCGCTGTGTTGTGCTTCCAAACCATCCGGTGCCAGGGACATTGAGGGACTGGGTGCCACAGGGGCCCTGGATGACAGCCAGGCACAAGAGGACAAATCAGTCAGCCACAGTGACCCTGCAGGCTGCTTTTGTCCCAAGCAGAGTGACTTGATTTATATTTTCACGAACTTCTGTGAAGGTTACAAGACAGTTTTTTTTACCTGTTCAGGATTAATAGGCCTTCCATTCATGGTGTCAGAGAGGATCTGACTCACGGCTTTTGCCAGGATCCCACTGGATCCTGACCAGTAAAGGGAAATAGAACTGCAACCAATTATGAAAATTACAATGACTGATCAACAGGAAATAAACCGGCATCTATGTTGATAATTGATTCATTGTTTTAATCATTTTTTTAAGCAAAAATGCCAAACATTTGCTGGTTACATCTCCTCAGAAGTGAGGATTTGCTGCTTTTCTTTCCAATATCTGAAAGTAAATTGAATATCTTCAGGTTTTGGACTGTGGATCAAATACAACAAGCTATTTGAATAAATTACATTGGGCTGTGGGAAGTTATATCGGCCATTTTTCTTTATTATCTGACATTATATTGACAAAATGATTGTTTGAATGATTATTTGGATGATTTTGATTAAAAACAGTGACAACAGTAAGTTCCTAGAGCCCAAGGTGACTTGTTCAAGTTACTAGTTGTATTACTAGAACCCACAGCAGTTGTGGATTTGAATATTAATTGTATTTTTCCAGCCAGAGCTCGGTTTGTCAGAGAGTGAGTAAAAGAGTGTTAAAAGTTATAGTTGGACATCAGTCAATAAACAGTGAGAAGAAAACTGCTGCTGGAAAATTCTCCCTGTATTGTGCAGCCAAGTCTAATCATTAATCAACAGTAATTCAGCATGTCTCCCCCCAGGCCAAACAGATGCAGATAAACAGATGACTGTATTGAAATGTCGACAGGCGGGAAGTCAAAAAACAGGGTTGCGCAAACCCAGGTGGTTAAACTGTGCCGGGTTTTAGTTCTACATCGCTAGTAGTAATGTTGGTGTCCTTGACCTTGTTCCATTCTGGTTTACTGGCATCTGTTACCTGTTTTATTTCAATGACAAATGCTTGGCAGTTGCTGCAGGAAGGATTCCATGCAGTGTGTCCTGTTCTCCAGGAATAAAGGCTTATTTTGTAGCTTGTTACATTGATCTTGATTTACAGGTATTATAGGTTAATTAGCACTTGGCTTTGTATAGGTGGAGATCATGAGAAAGACTTCCTGTCCCCATTTGGTTTGTAATTAAGAAGGTTAAAGCAGCAGCAGTTCACTTTCACTGCTCTAATAGCGTCACTTTCAGCAGCAGCAGGCAGCTGTTCTCAGAGAAACAGCTGTAAAGAGCCACTGTCCACTTCCTGCTGAGCAGCAACCAGCAGACAGACACAGCTAGAGAGCAGCTGGTGGACATGCTGGAGCGTTTAGCAACTGAAGAACCAGATATTTTGCTCTAATGTTGCTCCGTTCGAGGAGGTGAACTCCATTCATACACTTTTCTACATAAGACAGGATGTGCAGTATAAACTACCCTGCTCTGTTTTGTGGTTCATGAGAGTTTACTGCATTCATTCTGTGACACTGTCGGTCTCATTATTGTTTGTTTTGTGATCAGATATCTGTCATCATGTGGGATCCTGATGACGCGACTGCCTCCCCTGCTGGGTTCAGCCACGCCAGGGCTTGGCACCGGCACCATGTTGCCTGCCCGCAGCTTCTTCAACCTGGCTGAGTCCCTCTCCAAGAGGAAGGAGTACTCAGAGAGACGCATCATTGGGTGAGTCCATCCCGTCGGCTTTCACCTACAGAGCTTAGATTTGTTCTATTATATCGTCTTCACTGACTGTGTCCCTTCACCACGGTGCAGCATAATGTAGGACATTATGTTGTCATGCTGCAGTCTGTGACTCTGTTATTCTGCAGACACGTTCTTGTGAACTTTATAACGCAAGAATGATGCATAGGAGAATTTTTATACTTACTCCATATGGAGAAGATGATCTGATTAGATTTTGGTTGCCTTGCTTCATACATTTGCATATTTACAAGGACTTCCTACTAGTATTGCAAGCACACGTTTTTTTAATTTAACTTCTTATTGAACTTCCTTGTTGAATTAAAGGATCAAGTCTGTCTAAAAACAATTTTCACAGCGGATTTTGTTCCCCATCACTTACATTAGTGTGGGATCTCTCAATGACCATTATAAACAGGAGGAATGATTATAGTAAGCAAAACCTGTTTCACTGTACATACGGGCACCTGACTATTGGGAACCTATCCTTTAATAATAACACTTTATTGATGGGGCATAATCACAGAAACAGTGTTCCCAATCACAGCCTTTTACAAACCATAGCTTCATATATGAATGAATGTTTCGGATGCTGGTGCCCTATCTGAGGCTCTGCATGTGCCTGTGTGTGTGACGCACTAAATGTCCTCCTGTGTTCCTCAGGGAGGTCATAATCACTAAATCTGGTTGTATAAATAGACGCAAGTGGCAGCAGCTATTTTTCCTCAGCTGGAGTGATACAGTTATATAACAGTGGTGTTGGAGTCTCCATCTGCCTCTCATTCAGAACACATTGTCTGTATTTTATATATTTATGTATTTTATGTCTTTTTCTGTTGTTGCCTCTCTCTCTCTCTCTCTCGTCCCTCCCTCTCTTTCTCTCTCTGCTCCTCACTGACATAGTTCAGACTTTACTGAATCATGAGTCCTGTACTGTGCCGGCCTTGTGTCGTGTTATGTCACCATTACTGACCTTCATCTGCTTCCTGACGTGCAGCTCTGCATGGTTGTATTTGTACACTGGGAGCTTATGGCTCTTTCCCCTCCATCCGTGACTCCTCAGGTATTCCATGCAGGAGATATATGACGTGGTGGCCGGCGTGGAAAACTACCGCCACTTTGTTCCCTGGTGCAAGAAATCTGATGTGGTGTTCAAGCGATCTGGTTTCAGCAAGGCCAAACTAACCGTGGGATTTTCTCCTGTGGTGGAGAACTACACCTCTCTTGTCACCACAGTTCGCCCCCACCTGGTCAAGGTAAGGCACTGTGTCCCAGCCCATGTTGGCTGAATGTGCAGCGGGCCTCACGCAAGAACAGTTGTGTATTCTCATACTAAACTTCTCTCACTTTTTTGAAGTCTGTTCGTTCAGATTCACCAAACTAAATAAACTTGTGTGTACACATAGTTTATACACCTGGGCCCTGCTGTGAGAAATCAGCAGACAGCAACAGGTTTAGTCAGGTGCAGTACTAGAGGACTTGAAACAGTTCGAGGTCTGTCATTGTCTCGTTCTTGTCAGCAAACCATTTGAAATCCCTGTGTGTTTGTTGCTTGTCAGGCGTCCTGTTCGGATGGGAAACTGTTCAACCACTTGGAGACGGTTTGGCGCTTCAGCCCTGGCCTCCCGGGTTACCCTCGTACCTGCACTGTGGATTTTGCTGTAAGTACAAGCAGTTCGCCAAATGTAACTGTAGCATCAAACCTGCTAAAAGAAAGAAGAAAGAAAAAAGTTGGTGGGTGAAAAAAATTGATCTGATGCAGCTGATGTATTTTGTGAATACTTCGTACCTCGTCACCGACAGACTGACTTCAGATGAGAGCAGCATCAAACTCCTGATGGGGCGAAGAAAATAACTCGGTCCATAATCTGTTTCATGTCAAAAGCCGTGCGCCTGAACAGCATTTTCTGACAGCAGTGGCTGTTTCTGGTTCCACTGCTGCAGCAGAGAGGCCGTTCTCCACTGCTGGAGATTTAACATCAACAAAAACACAGTGGAACACTTTTTCCTTTTTTCCTTTCCCTCCTTTTTTACTCCAGAACTCAAACACCAACTTCTGTTTCTACAAAAAAAACATTTAAGAACCAACGTTATTCAGTAAATTACACTTTCATTTCATTGTTTTCATACAAGACAAAGACTGCAAGATGCTTTCAAGTTAAATACATAAATAACTATTAAAAATAACATAAAAACCTTTCTCTGCTTTTTCTGTTCGTCAGACAATGACCCTCCTTGAGAGCAGTTAGCCGAACTGTTATGTTTCATTTGCAGCGGTTTGGAACAAAGTGCAACAAAGGAGGAAGAACTAAAATATTATTGGATCGAGAATGATTTTAAATCAAGAATCAATCCTGTATCAAGACTCCCACCCCCAGGAAGAAGAGGGAGAGATTGCGGTTTAACCTTTGCTCTGTGTGCGTCCTCTCATGTGTTGGTCCGTCCACATGTCTGAGCTCAGCGTGTCTGCAGTTGCATGTGTTGTATTTGTCGTTGGATCAGTTTCAAACTTGAACACTCAGACCTCTGACGTCCATACAGTATTGAAATTCAGCTGCTAACTTGATCCCCTCCCTCCCCTCAGATCTCCTTCGAGTTTCGCTCCCTGCTCCACTCCCAGCTCGCTCACGTCTTCTTCGACGAGGTGGTGAAGCAGATGGTCTCGGCGTTCGAGCGTCGCGCCTCCAAGGTCTACGGCGCAGAGACGGCCATCCCCCGCGAGCTCATGTTCCACGAGGTCCACCACACGTAGCGCCACTTCCTGCTGCACAAACACAGATACACAGACAAACACAACGCCCTGATGCCAATGCCAGAGAGGAGTGTAGACAGAAAGTAGAGACTAGCTGTGTTCTAACTGAAAACTACAGTGCCTTTTTTACAGCAGTGACCAAGTTCATTCCCAACAATCTCCTGTTTCATTTTGTAGAACCGATGTGGATCCAACTTTCTGCTAAACATTTACATTTTTACATCATTTCCATTATCTGAATGTAACACGTGCCTGGTTGTGACACTGAGTTCACAGGCTGTGAATGTGAGGTGAAAGCACGGTGTAGCAGTGATTGGTCAACCACAGATGTCATCACTCTGTAAACATTAGCTACACTCAGCAGTTAACTACACTGGTAGTGCAACTGCAATAAACTTTAATTTGAAAAGCTGCTGCAGGAAGACACTGCACCAGTATGTCTTCCAAAATAAAACACGTGTTCCTATCAGTGTTTAGGGAGAATAATATGGTCGACCATAGGGGACTGGACAGTTGTTATCACTGTATATTGTGGTTCATGACAGTGATACCACTTCTGTAGTGTTACAGATGCAACTTTTTCATCATCGATTGATTTTTATTTTGATTCATTTATCAGTTATTTGGTCTAAAATAACAGAAAATGGCTAAAAATCACTATCACGGATCAGAAGGTGACGTCTTCAAACGTCCAAAACCCCCAAAGATTCAGGAATAAGATAATTTTTTAGCATATAAGCTTAATAAATGACTCTGGCGTTTAATCGAAAATTAAATTAGTTGCAGATTAATCGATTAAATGACTAACAGTCCCAGCTGTAGTTGGGATACAAGCTAAACAATGCAGATGAGCCTTTTTGAAGTTATGGAGAGAAGGGAGCAGGTCTGAGCAAAGTCTGAGGTGAAGCTACTGGATGTTGCAAAGTCGTGATAAAGACTAAATATTATCATTTTATCAGTTTGGATGATGTTAAATGTTCTTCTAAAATACTCCTGCACCTGACTGCATGCAGCTAATGTTTGTCTCTATGCAGATTCAGGATTAGAAAACAGTTCTGATGATGCAGCTACAGCAGCTGGTCAGTGGAGACGGTCACCTTTCTGTGTCAGACAGTTCAGCGGTTGTCTCAGGTCAACCCCATTATACGTGCAGGTGCATCTGTAATCTCAAGGATCCGTTACTTGGCACTAACAGCACATGTCCTGTGACAGCTAACCCACATCTGATGTGAGTCAGGAGCTCAGTGGAAAAGGATTAATACAGGATCCAGTGAGAGATTGACTCAGGTGAGAGAAGGAAAAGTACTTCCTGAGACTCTGCTCCTTACTCGGCAGTGAGAAAGTCGTGCAGGGAAGAGCTGCAACAAACAGCTAACAGCGTTCATCCATTTAGACTATGAAATGTCGATCAGTTTCCTGTGATTGGGACGTTATTACCTATGGATCACGTTAGTGCTCGTCCCACAGGAAGGCCGAGGTCAAAGTGACGCCAGCAAGTCTTGCCTGGTGATGTGATGACACGCAGCACCAATCACTGTAAGACCAGGGTCCAAATAGTGTTACAACCTCGATGCTTGTCTGTGATGTACTGAACGTGAAGGGCACAACGCAACAAAACAACAACTAGGTCTAAACTAGGCTCGGGCGGTTTCATGGTGTTATGGTAGAAAACGTATGATACACTGAACTGAACAGTCACCCTGCAGGAAATATGTTGTCTTCCTGGTGGAAACCCTGGATGATTAGATCCACTAGATTTAAAGATGATCCGTTACTTTATGGCTGGTTTATTTTTGTATTCATCCTTTTTTTTTTATTCCAGACTACCTTTAACTCAACATGATCTATTTTTGCCCATATGAACATTTACCTGTTCATATAATTGGTATTAGGCCGCACTGCAGGATTTTCCTTTCAAAATAAATGAATAAATAGATTGTTATTTTTAAATCATCATATACCGCATCATGGTATGAAAAAATAAATACCGCCCAAGCCTAGTCTGTACACATACTACTAAACTCCACAAGTCAAGTTTATTATAAGAATGTATTATAAGAGTAAAGGGCAGGCAGGTTAGACTGTGTCATTTTGTATTAAGAGGATGTGCAGGAGGATGTGTGGAGACGACTGCAGACATGTACTAAATGTACTGTACACTATCAGGAATACACACACCTTTCAAAGGGTGCTCAACTTTTATTTTGTTTTTGTTTTTTCTCAGTAGGGGGGCAGTGTCTCTTTTGTTTTCTTTTTCTTTTCTTCTAATGTTACATACACTATGCTCTCGTCAGTATTAAGAGAGCGATGCTGGACATAAGAGTTACTATATTATACAAAGCTAAGGGTGTTTTTTTTCTCTCATGTGTGCAATAACAGCAGTATAAGTTAATTTTAAATGCAGCTAAGCAAGCATGTAACCCCACTGTCATTATAAGGGCCCAAACTGGCCGGCTAGACAGAGGCAAGGGCCTGTTTTTATCAAACATGTATGAATTACAGTTTAGTCAGTGCTAGATTTTTCTGCAAGAACATTTATAATTATATATTTTTTTAAAGGTTTATGGGAATTTAACAACAACCTGATATATTTATAATGTATAAATACACAGTGAGAGATGGAATAATAGGAAATTGGCTACAAAACGTTTGTTTAGAGAATTTGTGTAAAAAGGAGAATTTAGTTCCACAAGAGCAGATGATGAAGACGTTTAGATTAAATCAATGCCAGATTTACTCGTTTGTTTGCCCTGATAAATGCAAATCTTCAAATGCAAATAATATAGTAAAACTATTCTTAATTTTGCTGCTTCAGCTAACGTATTTTTATTATAACTGTTGACATCAAACAGAAAGCAGCGACTGTGTTTCTGTTCTGCAGTCGTCCAGTATCTACTCTGACCTCTGCAGCTCTCTGACATTTCAGAGCAAAAGAAGTTAAGAAATAGTTTTTATTCTTATGTTTGTGAGCTGGAGTCAAAGTAAAAGGATTTTAACTTTGACTGTCAGCAGTTTAATAAATACCGGTCATACACCTTGACCTGTCCCGTCAGTCAGGATGCTGTTTCACTCACAGTGCCTCCTGGCCTACTGGCAGCATATTTATCTCCATTTTTAAACATTATTCTCATTTCATCGTATTTATTACTTAGTTTAAGTGTAAATATTGGTTTTGAGATCACATAAGAAAGAACTGTATTCATTGCTTTTAAAGGTTTGTGTCTGTGTTTCATGGGACGGGGGAAAGGACTTTATTTGTAAATGATGTGTTGAATGTGAAATGGCTTCAGAGAGATGTACCGACCGCATGATTTATAAACTATTTTTTCTAAAAAAAAAACTTGACTGATGTTTTTTCTTAGTATGTTTTTGGGTGTTTCTCAGCACTGCTGTAGTAAAAATGGATCCTGGCTCCCTTGACTGGACAGAAATAGGTTCGCCATGTGAGCGGTAAGAATAGACCTGCAAACTGCATTTGAACAGTCATAAGGTTTGGAAATGTCACTGCTGGCAAAGGGCACAGTTTAAGGCTTCCCCTCTGACCTTTGACCTGCTTTATCAATGCGAAGCCAAACATTGTAGCTGTGATCATTTCCAGAGAGCCAGAGAAAGGCGTCATTGATCACTAGAACACTAATAGAACGGCTTTCTACTTGTGTGAAATGAGTAATATTTAATTCAGTTTAATTTAAAATGTTCAGCTCAATTAGGACATTATCGGATGTATTCAGGTTTTTGAAATATTTAATACTTTCCAAAATATTCAATGTTTTCTCAGACATTTTTTCCCATTAAGATGAATGGATGGAATGTTCTAAATTTCTAATTTTCCACATCTTTTCATGTATTTTTCAACCCCCTCTACTCATTCATACTTTCAGCTAGAAACTCCATTCAAACTTTAAAGTGTTTGGAAACTTTCCTTCCTTTTTGGTTGTGTTCATCATTTAAATCTCATTCATAGTTTTTACACAGCAACAGTTCCAGTAAATATGGTATTATAATATCTAGTCTCGTTTTTGCTGTGTTAAAAGCTACATGATCATGTTGTTAATGCAAACTCAACACTTCCTGTATGTTTCAAATTAAAAGCCCTCTAATGTATTAGTGAGCAGAAACCCTTTGTTTCTTAACGGGACATTTGTTGCCGTTTTGTCTCATTTCCGGTTGCTAGTTTTTCTGCTGTTTACATTCTATTCAGATCTGCTAGTTTCTTTAGCTTAGCAGTTAGCGATGGCTTCTCTCTCTCCTGCTCATTGTGTCTTATGATTAGTTATTCCTCTACTTCCTTTAGTAATAATGATACACGTAATTAAAATAGTTTATGTGCTGTAATGGAGGCGAGGCTCAGTGTATTGGAAGCGCTCCTCCTCTTCCCTGCAGCCCACCTGGCAAAGGTGGAAATATGATCACTCAGTCAGTCAGTGATATTCCCCATTACAGGTCTGGCCCTGCTGTTGCTGTCCAGCCAATAAGAAACTGAGTAAACAACAAAACATCAGAACAATTAAATTTATTAAATAAAAAAAAAGAAAAAAAGAATCACCATTAATCGTTTACATTGTACAAAACAGAAGTCGTATGATCACAGCTATTTGCCATTTTGCAAAGGAATAATGTATTTATGTGTAAAACTAACACCACGCTCTCAGATTTTTTAGGTAAGTGATAAATGGTCTGTAGTTTTCTGTGACTCGTAGTCAAAACAGAGGCAGCACCTGGACGTCACAGGTTTTCACATTTTGTCTGAACTCCTCCACGCTCTCATACAATCAGACGTTTGTTGTGAAATTAATCTTCTGCGACGTCAAAACTGATGTTTAGAAAAACGCTGCATCCATGAAAACAACTCACAAAGGCTTGAAAAAAAAAAAAAAAAAAAAAAAAAAAAAAGAAAAAGCGCCAGAGATCTCGGTAAACATTTAACTTTTCTTTTTTTTTCACGTTGTTTTCAACAGGCCCCTGGTGATACTCTGGTGTTTTGACTCGTAGGCACTCTTTGTCCAGCCGCGGTCAGGTACGAGGGAACAAGTGATCTTTCCTCCATCATCACCAGACAAACAAAATGTAACATCACTTCAGAGACACAGACAATGCTCAGGCTCTGAAAGAAAACTGGTTTAATTAAAATCAAATGATAGATTTTAACCCACGTCGTTATCAGCTGGGGGGGAGAAAAAAAAACATAACAGATATATATATATAAAAAAAACAAAACGAATTAACAAAATACTACAAAGACAAAAATAAAGGACAGACACATTCCTGGCTAGGTATCTTCTCTCGTACCTGCCCTGCTCTCTTTTGCAGTAATACAGAGCATCAATACGTATGACTATGTTAGTTTCTGAAGTTTCTTCTTAGACGACTTGAATCACTTTCCTACCTCTTACAGAGATCACAGTGGCATCACCTGTATGAGCGTTTTACATGAAGAACTATGAGTTTGAACATGTGGATTGGTTCGATGAGCAGAGCCGTCGGAGGGTTCTGGTGTAGTAAGTAACTGGGCTCGATGGGGTCTCCTGCTCCGGACCGGGTCCTCCGGAGGCAGGAGACAGAATTAAACAGCGTGGGCATCTCCAACATACTCATGGCCAGTCAGTGTGGGCAGAGCTCGGTGGAGGTGGTTGCAGATTCTTGGAGGGTTTTGTTTTGTTTTTTCTTCTTCTGTGTGTGCTCCACAGCCACCCCCAGCACCGCTCTGCCTTTTAGTCTGTACAGCAACAAGTCAGGAGGACCGGCTTAGAAACCCATGCCTCCTCCCATGCCGCCCATGCCTCCCATGCCGCCCATGCCACCTCCCGGCATCTCCTTCTCCTCCTTGGGTATCTCCGTGACGACGGCCTCGGCGGTGGAGAGCAGGGAGGCGACTCCTGCGGCGTCCAGCAGCGCCGTCCTCACCACCTGCACAGACGGACGACACAAGGTTACTTCATGTAGGGAGGGGAGGTGTAACAAGCTAAAGCTTCAGCCTTTTCAGCCAATATCTATGTCTTTTATTTCTATGTAGAAATATTAATAAGGACAGATATAAATTGAACTGAAAGTTAAAAACACACAGTCTGATTGGTTGCACTGTACCTTGGTGGGGTCAATGATGCCCTTCTCCACCATGTTGACGTACTCCCCCTGCATGGCGTCGTAGCCGATATCAGCTGATTCCTGCAGGATCTTCTCCACCACCAGTGAGCCCTCCACACCGGCGTTCTTAGCGATGGTCATCGAGGGGATACGCAGCGCTCGCCTGATGATGTCCACACCTGATCGGAAGGAAATCAGTCATGAAAAACTTTAAAATCGACGAGTTTGACCAGCAACCGGCTGATTATTTGACTTCATTGGTACCGTCACACTTTGGTTACAATCTATCACTTCTATTTATAAAGATCTCCTGCCTCAGCAGAGCAGATCTCAGACCTGTTTAACCCTCATTGGTCCTCAGGTAAATACTGAACCTGGCCTTCCAACACTTTGCACCTTAGAAATTAAATGAATCAGGGAGGATTTTAAAACTTGGTTTATCTTAAATGTTTAACTGCATACACAGATTATTAATGACACTATAGTAAAACAGTGAATTGCTAAACATTTAAATTGTCTTTGTACCTGCTGCGTTATAGAGGGTTATTAGTCATTTATTACATGTTTGTATGCTGCTCATAAACGCTTAAATTATTACCATTACTGCAGTTTTAGTTTGTGTGTGTGTTAACTGACCGATCTTCTGGTCGGCGTTGGCGGTTTTGAGGCTGTCGAGTGATGGGATGCAGCGCAGCAGAGCGCAGCCTCCACCTGGAACGATCCCCTCCTCCACAGCTGCCCGGGTGGCGTTCAGAGCGTCCGTCACACGGTCCTTCTTCTCGTTCACCTCCACGTCACTCGTTCCTCCGATCTGAAATGTAGCACGGGCATCGCAGCGTTATCCTCCAGAGGAAAAACCACAGCGATCATTATTTTGTACCGTCTGCATTTCTGTCTGAGACGCACCTTGAGCACGGCCACGCCGTCCGACAGCTTGGCGAGCCTCTCGTTGAGCTTCTCCTTCTCGTAGTCGCTGGTGGTGTTCTCCAGCTGCTCGACGATCTCCGCTGCGCGTTTCTCCACCTCGGCTGGGCTGCCGCCTCCCCTCAGCAGCAGGGTGTCGTCTTTGGTGATCTGCACCTCGCCGACCTTACCGAAGTCGTGAGCTTGGATGTCTTCCAGGGCCACGCCCAGAGCCTCGTCTCCAAACACCTGGAGAAAGGAAAAGAGAAATGAATTAAAACACACCTGCATGTTTCTGTGTTAAATTTAAAATCAGGATGTTTTTAACACCTTCTTTTTTAAGGGACTTGAATTCAAAGCTTTCAGACTCTGTATTGAGAAGTTGACTTACGGTGCCCCCGGTGGCGATGGCCATATCCTTCAGCTGGTTCTTCCTGTTGTCTCCGAAGCCCGGGGCCTTGACAGCGACCACCTGAAGCCCCACCTTCAGCCTGCAGATGAAGACGTTGAATATTCACAGCCGTTACTTCTTATTCAAACACACGTCAGTGTCATATGATCTGTCCGCTGGCTGACTCTTGTTACCTGTTGAGAACCAAGGTGCTCAGGGCCTCTCCGTCCACGTCCTCCGCCACGATGACCAGCGGCTTGCGGTGCTGGTTGGCGATCTCCAGGGCTGGAACGATGCTCTGGACGCTGGAGATCTTCTTCTCACTCAGCAGCAGGTAGGCGTCCTGGAACTCACACTTCTGACCTGAGGAAGGGAGGAGACGGCCGGTTTAACATCATCATCATCATCATCATCATCATCATATACAGCAGGAGATGTACCAGCAGCCAGTATGAACACCTTTACCTTTGGCGGTGTTGATGAAGTACGGGGAGATGTAACCGCGGTCAAACTTCATGCCCTCGATGATCTCCAGCTCGTCGTGCAGCGTCTTCCCGTCCTGAGACGAAGAGCACGTGCTGATTATGTCAACTCAGGTAAAAAGAGCAGCAGATCATTTAAAGGCTTTGTTACCGTCAGTGGACGTCGACTCTCACCTTGACAGTGATGACTCCCTTGCGGCCAACTTTCTTCATGGCGTTAGAGATGATGTTACCGATCTCCACGTCTCCATTGGCTGAGATTGTCGCAACCTGGGAGACCAAAGGCCGTTATTAGACATTACTAAAGCTGGGCCACTGACATATCATCACTTCTTAAGTTCATATTAAGAACTTGTTTGTAAGTAGTTGCTCATTTCCACATCCGGCAGGAATGGACCAACATTATCATTCATTTATTGATCTCCACCAGCTCCTGAGGGAAATATATGGCTCCTCCCTCTGTGTCATCATCATGTATAAATTATACAACTTGTTCAACTTGTTCACCTTTAATCTGAGACCTGACTCCATTAAACTCCATTAAACTCCATTAAACAAAGTTCTTATTTGCAAAAATATAAATAATTGTGTTCCGTGTTTATTCACGTCAGACTGATGGTGCTGAGTTGGTGACACATCTGCCTCCCGCCATTCAAACTCAAACAGGTGCAAATGTGCATGTCTTGTTGCCCCCTACTAGACCGGAGTGCATGTGCACAAATCCTCACCCAAAATTAAGACAAACTCATATTAAAAACAGCCTCTAAATGTAAGCAACAATTATCAAACCAAAAATAGAAAATACAACTGCAAGACAAGGATCATCCATAAACAGAAAGCCTGTTGGTCAAGTCCAGTGCAGAACACCAGCAGCTTGAGTCAGAGCCAGGTTCAGGTGATAATTCCCTGTGGGTTCATCACTACGAGTAAACTTTGTAATTTAATTAATTCTATTCTAAAATATTAATTACAGCTGCTTGAATTCATTTCATTGTCATGTCATCATTCACTCCTGATGATGTGTACCTACCTGTGCGATCTCCTCGGGGGTTGTGACGGGCTTGGAGAGCTTCTTCAGCTCGCTGATGACGTATTCCACGGCCATCATGACTCCACGGCGGATCTCCACGGGGTTGGCGCCTTTGCTGATGGTGTCGAAGCCCTCCTTGGCGATGGCACGAGCCAGCACCGTGGCGGTGGTGGTGCCGTCGCCGGCCTCCTCGTTGGTGTTGTTGGCCACGTCCTGCACCAGCTTGGCGCCAATGTTCTTGTACTTGTCCTTCAGGTCGATGCTCTTGGCCACGGTCACGCCGTCCTTGGTGACTTTAGGGCTGCCCCAGCTCTGCTCAATGATGACGGTACGACCCTGAGGTGGAGACAGCAAGAGGTGAGATTAAAATAACTATATCTTCAGTTGACACCAAATGAGAACTGTAAGACCTGCGGACACCCTGAATCCCAGATAACAGGAGCTCACGTTACCTTTGGGCCCATGGTGACGGCCACAGCGTCCGCCAGCAGGTCGACTCCCTGCAGCATGAGGGCGCGAGCGTCGGCTCCAAACTTCACGTCTTTAGCGTAGGCTCGTGTCAGGTGAGGAGCCAGCGCCCGGCACACAGGCCTCACCTGCTTCATGACCGTTGGGAGACGAAACATCTCTACGGGAAGAAAAGACAGAGAGGGGAATTTATAAAACATGTCTGAGACCAAGACTCCCACTGAGGTGAAGCAGAAACGTCCAAATAAATCTGAAAAATTCTTTGTACAGGCTTGAATGTTCATGCCACAACAGTCTTCAACAGGTGCAGGGTGAAGGCAAAGTACACCTGAATAATTATTCTCCAAATCCATTCAACCCCCACAGCAGCTCAGGTTATGTATTACACAGGTTTACTCTGCCCCTAGTGGCCACTAATGGCACAACATGCCACCAGTGATTGAATGAATGAACTTACACCTATAAAAAGGTGCAATTATGATTAGAATAGCCACACTAAGGTCACAGTAAACTTTACATTTGCAGCTGTTGAGTCCATGATGCATTTTTTTGACTGGCCATAAATCAAAGGGCTGCAGCTAATGATTATTTTTAGTTACTGTTAGTCTGTCAAATATTCACTCAATTAAATTAGTAAATTAATGTGAGAAAATAAAGACAAATATCCATCATAGTTTCCATCCAGACAGTCTGAATCCCAAAGATAATCAACTGACAGTGATAGAAAACAGAGTAAAACAGTACACAACAGTAAATTCTTACATGTAAGCTGCTGTAACCACATGATGTTCAGTATTTTAGTTTGATAAATGTCTTAAAAAAGGTTAAATGATTAGTCACAAATCCCATAGATGAATATTAAAGATAAACTGGCTGTGGCTGTGTCCCAGGCCCCTCAGGAATAACTGTCAGCTTCTACTTCAACATGCAAATCATGTCTAATAACTAATCACCATTTTCTCTACTTGGCAAACACTGTTATAATTTACAGTTTAACAAGGAAGAATCTGATTAGCGTTTATGCCAGCCTTGTCGATAAATTATTAAAATAATTAAGAAAAAACATAAAAAAGCAAAACTTAACAGTACACATTCAACAAACAAGTTCCCCTGACATCTGGCACCACAGGTGCTTTAGTCTATTAATCAATCATAAATACTGGTCCAATTCTTTATATTGTCTTTCTATTATGTTGTATAATTGTTTTTTTTATTATATATTTGTGGATTATTGTTTCTTATATTGAATATTTGTGTTGTATTCAGGGTGTCCTTGAAAAAGACAACTTGCTCTCAATGGCCTTCCCTGTACAAATGAATGAATGAATGAATGAATGAGTCAATCCACAGAAAAATAACATTTTGATCATTGATTCATTTTTCAAAGTATTTTGATGGTTCCAGTTTCTCAAATGTGAAGATTTGACTCTTTTCTTTGTCATTTATGATCATGAACTGAACATTTTACAGTTTCTGAACTCTTGATTTTTTATTTTTTACTGTCTTCTATTGTTTCATTGATCAACTGATTAATCTTGATGATAATAAGAAGAGAAATCTATTATGAAAACAACAACTCAGAATAAATAATCCAAATCTTCACAGACAACTAGAAAAAAAGGTGGTAGGTTAGAACTGATGAGACTTATTTTTACCTAGTAAGAATAATAATCAAAATTCAGATTCAGAATTCATTCCAGAAATTAATTATCCTATTTAGGATGTTACCCAGATTATTAAATTTATCCTCAGAACCACTTCCTTGTGAACCCACGTGTGCCCGTCAGGTCGCGAGTCACAAGGTCAAATTGTAAAAGCATGTGCCTCCTCATCCCTGACCGGATCAGCCTGGTGATTGACCACCACACTGTCTCGTCAATAATCACTGCACACTCATGTAACTGAAGAGAAACTATCATTATTATTAATTATAATATTTTTAATCGTTTTTTTTCCTGCAGTGCTGTCCTCAGCTCTCAGTCAGCCTGACAAACGCCACACTCCTGATTTCATATCATTAAATGTCGTATAAAGATTAAATGCGAAGCTTAAAGACATAACTAACTACCTAATTAATGTCTATAGTGGCATTTTAACATGTGTGTCCTTGCGGTTGAGACGAAAAATCTCTTTGCTGGGCGGAATTAAAGCCGAGACGAGCTCGGTGCTTCCTTCTAGTTAGCACAAAATCTGCTACATAAAGGCAGCGCTAGCTTAAAGTTAATAGCCTGTAATGTCAACTACGAAGAGTTTATTAAATGACGGCACTTACTTGTGGTGTAAAAGGCTTGTAGCTGCTACAAGGTGTGCAACACGGGATGATATAACTCCTGCAGGAGAGGACGGCCGTGTGGTGTGAATGAGACCGGACTGCACATGGTCTATCACATCCGGGGTATTTACCGGCCCGCCCCGCACTCTGCATAACGGTATTCCAGTTTGAATAACTACATTTTTTATCAATATTATAAATGAAATAAGGTCATATTTGGCACTAAATCACAGTTTATAGTTCGCAGTGTTCACGACTTAGCTGTAAATGACTCCATTTGTGAGTTTTAAAGCAGAATACGTGTCTTATGCTCGTTCCCGGGCGGACGCTTCCAGAATTTTCTTGTGTGCCATTGGTGGGGGACAAAGAGGTCAAAGTTGACATTGTGCAATATTGCCTCAACTTTCAACAGACGAATAAGTCCGAAATCGATAAAAATTGAAGTTTTAAATTGGGCGTGCAAGTTTTGGTCTCACTGAATAACCTCTTTTTGAATAAATAGGTGTTTTACTCTCGTTGGTATAGGTGAATTAGAATTTTCTGTAAGGCAGAGATTCGGCTGCTACGTCTAGTGCGCATGCGCGTTTCTGGAGCTTTCCTCACGTGGAAAGACAGACGGACAATCCGGTTCAGTGTGCTGGATCCACGCTCCTGAAGGACCCGGGCTGCAGCTCCACGCCGACTCTCACACCGAGAACACTTCCAGAAAATGGTAAGACATGTGTCCAGACACAGTAACTGGTGCTTAATGTCAGCGTAACTACAAAACTTTAATAGAAAAGAGAGGTAATTTATTTATTTTGTGGCCTCTGGTTATCGTTAGCAGCTAATGTTGCGTTAGCTCCCGTTAACATCCACTGACAAGGTCAAACAGATGATTAGCTAACCACAGATATGTTTATATTATAACAAACTGTAGGAATCATTAGAGGAGAAAACAGACGAGCTGATTCTGGGGGAGCAGGGGATCGAACCATCAACCTCGTGATTTAGTGGCGCTTCATCTCCTGGAAGCATGTGCTGAGAAAATTAACTCTTCCAGACAACAGCGGTCACATGTGAATGAATGAAGTGTCCAGAAGTATTGAGGACAGACAGAGCAGTTTGGTGCAGTTGTCTGTTAAATCTGTCATACTGCACCAAACATGCCTGAGGTCAATGGAAAATATGAATTATATAATCGTTTTAGACATTTCTCACTTCAGCTTGACCTCATGACCTGCCCATGGAGAGCTGAAACAATTAGTCCATTAATCAATTAGTCGACCAACAGGAAATTAACCTGCAGGAGTCATTTTCAAAGCTAAAATGTAAAAAACAAATCAGCTTGTTGCTGCCCATCCAAGTACAACTGAATATATTCTCTTTATCAACATTTTATAGATAATCATGACATTTTATAGATCAAACAATTATCATTATGAAAATCATAGTCTTGGTCAGATCTGAGTATAAACCCTTTTCACATTACAGCAGAAATATACTTCATCTTCTGTTAAAACAAATGTAGTGTCAGTAAAAAGTATAAAGCTGCAGAATGTGGAAATTCTCAAGTAAAGTATACTTACCTTAAAAACCTACCCTCTTGAGTACATGTACTTCATTACTTTCCACCTCTGTTAGTTACTTTGCAGATTCAGGTTATTAATACAAACTGTAATCATACTAATACAGCATGTATGTATCATAATAGATTATACATTAAAATAATAAACATATTGATGATACAATAATTATAAACCAGTCATACAGTATTTATGACTCTGAAATGGCCCATTCTACATGATTAGTACATTTCAAAGCTGATACTTTGTGCTCTTAATTTGAATGCAGGACTTTTACTTGTAACACAATATTTCTACACTGTGGTTCTGCTACTTTAATTGCTGACAAACTGTAGATGCTAATGCACGATTAGATTTGCAAAATATCCCGAATAATCTGATGAAGATTAAAGTAACACTGTGGGTAATTTGTCCAAATTCTACTAGAAACACACAGTATGAATAAAAACCTGCCAGTTTATTACATATATAAATATAGACAAAACTGTCCTGCAATAATTCCTACTTTCACAAACCATTTTAGAGGCTGTAGTTCTTGTTGCTGTTGAACTGTGTTGTGGAGAGGTGTCATCTCACATTGATATAAATGAATAGTAGAGACGATGCGTTTATAATGTTCACATTTTATGGAGGCGACACTTAGAAAATGTGAGGTTTAGCATAACCTTCTCATGCAACCTGTGCTCCTCCAACCACCTCAAAGAGAGGGGGGAACCTTCTGGAAACCTGGTCAAACCAGCCTTGAGTGTTATCTGCACTGGTGAAATCCTGGAGGATGTTTTATCACCAGTCAAGGCTGTTTTCATAACTTCAGTGTTTGTGACCAATTCACTAAAATCCCAAGATGCATGGAACGTTATCATCAAAGTGCGTTATCAGTGAAGTGAGCAGGCCTCGTCCCTCCCCCCTGCCTCGGGGTAAAAGGTCACTGTGGAGAGGTGCAGTAACCCCACCTCCTCTGCCCAGTCAACAAACTGGGATTCCTCCCCACCCTCCTCCACCTCTTCCCCAGACAACCTTCACCCAAGGTCACTGCTACATCTGCTGTTATTGAACTGTTGTCAGCTGCTGTTTTAAATCATAGCAAGCCATTACCACTGTCTTTATCCTCCTCCTCCCCCTCCTCTTTATTTTACTCTCTTTCCCAACAGAGCAGCCACAGTTTTCGATTAATCGTTCCCTTATTTTTAACCAGATTTGTCCAGTTAATTACACTTTAACTAAACCCTAAACTTATGCACATTCTTTTACTGTAGTTAATTATTGGTGGTCAGTGGTGGAAGAAGTATTTAAATGCTTTACATAAGTAGAAGGAGGAATGTGACAGTGTAAAAATACTGTAGGGACTGTAAAGGACTATATTCAAGTAAAATTACATAAGTATTGACAGAAAAATGCACTTAAAAGTAGGTTGTAACCTACCGGGATATTATTCTCTTAGTACAAAGAGTCAGTGTATTACCCAGCATGCCTCCACCCAACTTAAACCGGTTTGAATTCCAAAGTTCTGGCTATCACTGTAAAATAAATGTAGTGGAGTAGAACGTTTAATATTTCCTTCTGATATTTATTGAAGTAAGTGAAAAGTTGCGTAACCCCAACATACAAGAACCTATAAAATTGTACTTAAATAGTGTACTATAATAAATGTACTGAGCTTCCCCCACTGACTGTTGTCACATTAGTCTCTGCTCACACAGGGATCCTGTTTTATCACTATGTTCCTCCTGATGATGCAAACCCCACTGTAAAGCCAGACGGGTCAGGGCTCCACTGTCCTTGGGTTTTGTGTAACACAAAGCCAGTGTTTAACTCAAGACAGCCCCTAGTGGTCCTCTTGTGTTATTACAGCAAATCCCAAGTCTTTATTCTGTGGTGTTTCATAACTAAAATGTTACTTGAACTTGATGTTATTGGCTCATTTCCTCTCTTTGTGGTCACTCACAGGCCTTCAGAAAATTCCTGCCCTTGTTTGACCGTGTGCTGGTGGAGCGCTTCACAGCAGAGACGGTAACGAAGGGAGGCATCATGCTGCCGGAGAAGGCTCAAGGCAAAGTGCTGGAGGCCACTGTAGTGGCAGTAGGACCTGGCTCTGTCAACCAGGTAATTGTCAACCTGCTACTTACAGATACAGTCATAGCTGCTAAGAGTAATTTAGACCTTATCACCTGTCCATGTGCAGTATGTCAGATGTGTTGAATTATTTTGATAATCAATTAATTATCAGAGTCTTTTATAAAGCGAAAATTAGCTTGTTCCCACTTCTAATATAATGATTTAGTTTTTCCTTCTAAAATTTTTCACTTTTACTCCACTACATCTCAGAGGAAAATGTATTTTTTCTCCAAAATATTTGTTTGATAACTTTAGTTACTCTGCAGATTCAGATTGATAATACAAAACATGATATATTAATATAGGTTACGATAAGACTTTCACAAGCTACATAGCTGCATATAAAGTGATGAAAATGAATCACACTTTTACCAGCTGCAGCAACAAAGTGATGTACATATTATTATAATAATATAATATATTTGACCTTTTTTGTTCTAGAAAGGGAACGTGACACCAGTCAGTGTGAAGGTCGGAGAGAAGGTTCTCCTACCAGAGTACGGTGGAACTAAAGTCATACTGGACAACAAGGTGCAGTGAAGTCGGCTTTTCAACAGAATCAGTACTTGTTTCTTTTTGTGCTGTCCTTGTTTTAATTTCTTGATTCTTATTCTGTCCTCCAGGACTACTTCCTGTTCCGTGACGGAGATATCCTTGGGAAATACGTTGAATGAGTCTTCATCGTTTCATGTAAATTCCCTGTCGTCCCTGGAGAGAAAAAATTAAGTTGCCTCATTCGTGTCTGTTTTTTTTCTATGTTATTTCAATTGTAAATAATTCTAATCACATTTTGTTACAATAATAAAGGTGAACTGTCGATTGTTGTGTTTTTGTCTCTTGATTTCACACTACTACCAAACAGAAATGACCATGATTTGTTAACAAGTTAAATCTGGAGATTAATTCTTGCTTAAACTCACTTGATCTCACTTAACCTTTCTAATTTTACGAAAGGATTTAAACCACATCTTAGAGCTGACATAGATCCAATCTGAATGTGTCAGTACCATTTTTCTGATAAGCCATCATTAATAATGTTAATAATCTAATTAATTGAGTTATTAGTGGTTAATAAATAATTTACTGACTACATATCATGTATAAGCCATAAATAAGAACTTTTTAGTGTCCAGGTTGTGTGAAATCTTCCTGTGCAACACCTTTTCCTTTTATCTGTTAAATTCATTAGGGAGAGCTGCAGGACATCTGGACCAAAATCCAGTTCTAAACTGCTTATTTAACAGCTGAAGACTTGATGGGTTGTAGAAGTTTTTATTAATTATTGATTATGCATAGAAATGGGGAAACCAAACACCACACACACTAACCTATTCAACTGAGCACTTAATAGTGGTTTACCAAAATGTGTATCTATTATTACTGAATAGAGACACAGCCATGTAGACAGTAGATTTAAACAGGACACACTCTTTGAGTCTTTATTCAAACAACAGAACGGACACATCTGCCCTTCAAAATGTCATAAAAACTCACCATTAACATTTCATATAAATGATTTTGTTCTCTGTACATCTGTACTTTTTTACAGTTTGCACACAGATCATCAGCTAAAGGTAAAAGGCCCCCCACCCCGCCTGTATAGGACCTCACAGACTGAAAGTTTGTGCTATGTGTCCGTGTGTTTGTTTCTGTCACTTTGTAGTGATTTTGTCTCTCTTTGTAGTTGTTTGTCTTTTTCTAGTCTATTTGCAATGCTTCATCATAGCCTATTTATGTCTCGAATGTTTTTATAGCTTTGCAGCCAATTTTGTCTCGTTTTATTTTAATTTAGTCTCTTAGTGGTTGTATTGTGTCTCTTCGTAGTAGTTTTAAGCCCCTTGGTAGTCGATTTGAGTCTTGTTGAGTTGTTTAGCTGTTTTTATATTCAATTTGAGTCTTTGTAGTCAGTTTACGTAACTTTGTAGTTGATTTGAGTCTTTGTAGTTTTGTGTCTCTCTGTAGTTGTTTTTTGTAGTTTTATGTCTCTTTGTAGTTTTTTTGTATTTATTTGTAGTTGTTTTATGTCTCTTTGTAGTTGATTTTATGTTCTCTTTGTAGTTGTTTTATGTCTCTTTGTAGTTGTTTTGTATTTATTTGTAGTTGTTTTATGTCTCTTTGTAGTTGTTTTATGTCTCTTTGTAGTTGTTTTGTGTTTCTTTGTAGTTGTTTTGTGTTTATTTGTAGTTGTTTATGTCTCTTTGTAGTTGTTTTATGTCTCTTTGTAGTTGTTTTGTGTTTATTTGTAGTTGTTTTATGTCTCTTTGTAGTTGTTTTGTCTCTTTGTAGTTGTTTTGTGTCTCTTTGTAGTTGTTTTGTGTTTATTTGTAGTTGTTTATGTCTCTTTGTAGTTGTTTTATGTCTCTTTGTAGTTGTTTTGTGTTTATTTGTAGTTGTTTTGTGTCTATTTGTAGTTGTTTTATGTCTCTTTGTAGTTGTTTTATGTCTCTTTGTAGTGACCTGACTGACCATCGAAGTCAATCTGAGGCTCTGGCCTTGGGGCCCCTGACCCCTTGGACCTTTTCGTGCTAATGCTTCACACTACAAGTGCTAATTAGCTTAAATGGAAACGCTCCAGTAAAGTAGACGTAGCTCCGATCTGTAGTAAAGCACAGTACACATTATGAGTGAACGTGTACTAAGGTAAACATGAAGCAGATTTGAGTTGCCGCTTCGTGCTAACGGACACCGCTGCTACAACACCGCGGCTGACGAACATCCGGGTATTCTGTCGAGATGGTCATGGCGGAGGGTACTGCAGTTCTCAGGAGGAATCGGCCTGGAACCAAGGCAAAGGTTTGTTTTCAACCCGCAGGGGCACTTGATCGTTACTGCTAACCAGCCTCCGCCGCTGTGGGAAGCTGTCTCATTTGAGCAGTGTTGTTTCAGTAAACGTCTTTTGTCGACAACTTGGTCATAGACAACATATAGGAAGGGCCTGACCTGGAAACGGCCAGCTAAGTTAGCCACCGTTAGCTGCTGCTTCGTCTAGTTCCTGGAGTAACGTTGAACGACTCTGGGTGTTGCTTCTTGTGTCGGGGATCATCAGTATTGCTGAATCATTATTGCTTAAGTAATTATTGATCAAATCTAGTACATATAAAGGACACTCAAATATAGAAAGGTTGCTATGTTAGTATTTAGCTTGTGTACCATTTAGCTTAGCAGGAAGAAGTCACATCCCGGTTATCGAATGAGCTAGCGTCAAGTTAGCTTCATAGCTGTGAGTAATGGAGAAAAACCAAGGTTGTTAACTTTGGCAACAACGTTTCCTCCGCAAAACTTTCCCTGTCACCAAACTTCAAACTGATGGTCAGTTTCTCAGCTTTTATGACTTTCCTCCATTCATCTTTGTCATGTGTCGTATTGTGACATTACGCCAGGCTTGTCTAACGACTCTGAAGTTAGCTTCCAATTCTCAGGTGTCACCTATCTGAAACCATCTTTTAAACAGACCTTAAACTCTCACTAATCATTTAGTCCAGATTTGACACGTCTAGGAATAGTTGGTTTTTATTTATACCTGATCCGATGTAGTTTAGGCAGGAAAAAGTATGAAATCACAATTTTTTTGTATTGTTTGTCTTTGCAAATGGGGTAAAAGTTTCACAAATCTGAAACAATGTTGTAAACAGTCTTTAAACTCTCCCTGTTAATCTAGCCCAGATTTACAAACCTAGACAGTGGGCTTTCATATAAATCTAAAATACAATAATAAGTGTGTTTTCAACAGATACTGGAGTTAATTCATTGATCTGATCAGGTATGAATGTGGGTGTTTTTAAACTGTACCTGGTCTTGTAGTATAAATGGAGAAAACGCAGTGCTTACATAATAAAGGTTTCACTAATCTAAAATGCATATTTAAACAATGATAAGGCTTTAACTAGGATGTGTAACACTGTATTACAATAATAAGAGGGAGTGGTTGCTCTAACTTTCTCCTTAACTGCTGAATCTGAGGCTGACTTCATGGCCATGTTTGTCTAATTATTGTTAGTTAATGTCAGGTGAGAGCTATGTAGCTGGCATTAGTCATGCTACAATGCCAGCTTTGTCCACTTTGAGTGGAGACTAAATTTGTCCTCCCTCCATGTATAGGATTTCTACAACTGGCCGGATGAATCATTTGAGGAGATGGACAGCACCCTGGCTGTCCAACAGGTGTGTGTGTGTGTGTGTGTGTGTGTGTGTGTGTGTGTGTGTGTGTGTGTGTGTGCGTGCGCGCGTCAGTGTACCCTACACATATGGTCTTTTTGTGCATGGTGGTACAAGCATTTGAGTGGAGGTTTCTACTGTTTTTCTCCTTGCCTTGCTAAGGTTAAAATGTTAATGTTACTTACAAACGTCTGTACATCAGTTTTAATCTGCACTTTATTTCACCCTTTCATGACTTTCTCTGGTTTTTATTTAGCTGATGTTTTACACAGTATATACAGTTATCCTCTCTTTCTGAGCAAATCCAGTTAAATGAACCATCAAAGCAATGTCTTATTGCATTTATACTCAGTTGTAGTGGTCACTCTCTTCCCACTGGCTGGCAGACCTGGTGTCCTCCAGACACTGTCTGTAGTTGGACCATCTTGACCAATTTGTCTAAATCAGACGGCTGAAGCTTCACAGTAGCGTCAGCTGAACTTTAGATTTCATCTTTGCACAGAATGAGGACTGGGGATTATATCATCTATCACTTACACTGTAATTGCATTTGGAAGCTTCACTGACAGTATGGAGTAGAGGCCAGCGACCAGTAACTATTTCAGTGGTCGTATACTTTTATGAGATCTGCATTAAGATAGATAAAAAAGTTCTATCCTTTAACTGTAATGGGTCTTTAAAGACCAGGAAATGATATTTAGGTGATATTACAATCAAAATCTTAGACACTGTCTGGTTTAATCACACATTCTCACAAATTCCCATTCCCACAAACATCCTGGCGGTAAAATAATTGTTGTTAACATAGTCATTTATAGTTCACCAGTATATTATAGCCATATTAAAGTAGGGATTAACTCATTGTTCTGGCTGAATGAGGGTGTATATTGATGTGTATTGGATGGATCTGTTTCAGTACATTCAGCAGAACATCAGATCAGATTGCTCCAATATCGACAAAATCCTGGAGCCTCCAGAGGGTCAGGACGAGGGGGTGTGGAAGTATGAACACCTCAGGTAAGTTAAAAATGTTTGACCCCAAAATTCTTTGAATATATGGTCTTGGGTGTTTTGCTTATAGATGTATTTGTTTTGTTTTTTTTACACTTTATTCATTCATTTTTTTCCCCAAACAAACAAGAATGACGAGAAAGAAAAGCAAAATACCAAAATACAACAGAATGAGACAATTGCACACTCCCTACGTTGCAGTGGACCCTTTATATCGTGTGTGTGTGTGTGTGTGTGTGTGTGTGTGTGTGTGTGTGTGAGAGCATGTACAGTAAATACAGTCACTCATGCTCATGTTTTGTTTTGTCTTGTTTGCAGGCAGTTCTGTCTGGAGCTCAATGGATTAGCTGTAAAACTGCAGGTAAGTGATCAAACTCATCAGATGAGGATGCTGTGATTTAGGAATCTCGCGTTGATACCGAATGCAACGCCCCTCCTACCTGCTGTTGGTCGTGGTTTAGAGGTGTGTTGGGTTTGCATCAGTGCACTGTCAGCTGTAGTGAAGCCTGTCTGTCCTCCTGCAGAGCGAGTGCCATCCAGACACCTGCACCCAGATGACCGCCACAGAGCAGTGGATCTTTTTATGTGCTGCCCACAAGACACCCAAAGAGGTGAGTCCAGCCCGTGGTTCACTCAGAGCCTTACATCACCTCCTATGACGGTGTCCTTCACATGTATTAATCCCCCAGCATGATTCATTTGTCTCGGCGTCTGTGATTTAAAGTAGCTGTTACTGACGGCTGTGTGTGTTCTGTGCTGCAGTGCCCTGCCATTGATTACACCAGGCACACGCTGGACGGAGCTGCCTGTCTTCTCAATAGCAACAAATACTTCCCCAGCAGGTCAGTCCTCTTCTGTGAAGCAGTTATAATTAATTAAGTATCAAATGTCATTGTGACGAGGTGAAGGTGTCTCTATAGTGACGAACTGTCAGCTGAGTCTGGAGCTCCCCGTCTCTCTCTCTCCTTTCTTTTTCTCTTCTTTCTCCCTATCCCTCTCTCCTCGGCCAGCTGTAACGACATATCTCCACTTCCTGTATCTCTCATTTCAAATTAAAAGCCCTCTGCAGAGTTGTGTAATTGCATCCTCGTGAAGTTGTTTGTTTAAAGAAGACTGACATCTTTACTGGCATCGTGGTTGAATTACTGCGTAGATCACCGTGACGATGTTGCTTCACTTTCAGTAGAAACGATTTTAACAGCTACTTCCTGTCCGACTTGTCTCTCTAGGGTGAGCATCAAGGAGTCATCGGTGGCCAAGCTGGGCTCCGTCTGTCGTCGCATCTATAGGATATTCTCTCATGCCTACTTCCATCACCGCCAGATATTTGACAAGTATGAGGTGGGTTTCGTCAGACCTCACGTTGCACACGCTACTACTTTAGCATGGTCCTGGTAACATCAGGTGATTAGAACCATGACAGATGTTTTACCAACACACCACAGGAGTTCAGGAAGACAGTAGCTTCAGTACAACTAGAGTTGCAAAGATTAGTAGACCGATGGAAGATTAATCTGCAGCTATTCTGATAATTGAAATAAAAAATCTTTTATTCATAAGTGAAATGCCAAACGTCTCAGATCTGAGAGTTTGATGCCTTTCTTTGTCACATGACAGTAAATTGAATAATCGAATAATAAAGAAAATAGTTGTTAGTTGCAGACTTTAATTCAAAGCTCAGCCACCGCTATCATGTCAGTTAACAAGATTATTGATGATTCAGTTAGATCACATAAATACTAAATGTCTTCTACATTCAACAGAGAGAGAAATACTGTTGTTTCCTTTAATATCAAAGGTGTAAAGAAAAGGATTTATTTATTTAACATGACATAATTGTATTTTTTTTGTGCCTATGTGTGAAAAACAGTTGAGCAAGAATAATAAAAAACCTGCACCACTTACAGGGGCGTCATCATGATGCATATTTAAAAAAACAAAAAGAAATGCTGTCTCACAGAGCCGCACACAGTCTGACTGATCATTGAAGTGGATGCCTGTACTTTGATGAAGCGATCACACAGACGGGACAGAAACTGCGAGTCTGTTCACGGATTCATCTGCATCTGTTTGTGTAGACGTCGGCCTGATGTCTGCAGACAGCTGTTAGCTAGTGTTAGCTAGCGTTAGCTCCAGGGACAGACTGAACAAAGCAGAAACCACACACTGTTCAGGCGACTTCCTCGGCCTCGCAGTAGAGTAGACAAACTCAGATCAGTGTGCGGAGGCTTTTTTCATCCGTCCCTCTTGTAAATGTGATCTCTAGATTCACTTCGAGGGATCCGGAGCAAGCTAACATCCTGAGTCACTGCATCATATCATAACACAGCTCAGCTGATGACCTTACAAGGGCGCCGTTGTGTTCCTTCGTTTGTTGTTGTTTTTTTTTCATATAATTCTCTTAAATTCAGACTTTATAAGGACATGAGTGTGCTAACTATAATTTTCATGTGAGTAATTAACAGCCCCGTGTTCTGTAAACAGCCAGTGTGAGATATTATTTTGTAAATTAGATCTTTATGTAAATTTTTCTAAATTTCCTCAGAGACAATGAGCTCGTTTGCAAAGGTGCTTAATTGAGTACAGAGATGTGAAACGAGTTGTGTTGAATCGGGACGCAGAGTTTGACAGTCCTGATGTGTGTGTGTGTGTGTATGTGCGCGTGCGTGTGTGTGTGTTTGTGTGCGCAGAATGAAACGTTCCTGTGTCACCGGTTCACGCGCTTCGTCATGAAGTACAACCTGATGTCCAAGGACAACCTGATTGTGCCGATCCTGGAGGAGGAAGTGCAGAACACCTCATCAGCCGGGGAGAGCGAGGCCTAAGATACAGCTGCTGCCATAAGGGAGACACATGTAAACACACCATATTTACACATTACAGAGGAGACACACACACACACACACACACACACACACCTGCATATACACGACACACATATATATATAAATATATATATACACACTACAGTGTATTAAGGCTCCTGTCTAGTAACACTGTCCATGTCCCTCCTCCCTTGTCACCTGTGTCTATCTCAAAGGAAGTAAGGGTAAAGAATACTGGGAGCAGAGTTCAGCCATGCCTGCAGGACAAGATGATATTTTCTATTTACACTCTCTCTGTGCGTCCAGACTCACACCGTGCGTCTGGACTCAGCCCTGCTCTCACACTACTACTCCTTTAGGGAAAACCTTTCTCTTTAATCTTCTTTAAGCAGCTGGATTTGCAAAAGACCTACGTAATCATGGTGACCTGTATTGTTGACAAAGGCACACACTGACAGCCCCCCCCCCCTTCTGTATATAACCCCAACCTCAAACCCCCCCACCCCACCCCTCTCTCTCTCTCTCTGTTAATTCACTATCATGTTTTCTGATGGTGCTTCACTTTTCTGTGTCTGCTTCTGTTCTCTGTTTGCTTGTGTTGCCTACCAGCCTGTTTTCTGGGGGTGTCCCATGAAATGGATCACTAAATTAGCCTGCTGACTTAATAATGCTATTAAAACACAGTGTAGGTGTGTGGCTTGTGTGGTAGTGAACAAAGAAAAAAAACAAAAAAAAAAAACGTAACCTCTAGCTCTGTTCGTGTACTAGCAGTCAGATATTCTTTCTCTTCGGCCTCTGAAGTGACGGAGCGTTTAGAAGACGTTCCTCGGCTAACTCTGATCCTGCTTTGTGACATGCCCCCATTTTAATACTGTGTAAAAATGTGACCGATGTTCTTTCCTTGACATTATAGTAACTGAAACGATGAATTTAAGGGCAGAGACTGCGCTGCTGTAGGCCAGTTTTTTCCCGCTTTAAACATTTGATCGAGTAAATGCAACGAGGAAGGAGTGAATATCGGCTACATTTAAGTATTGGAGCACAACGTCTCTTATTTTACCCTCTCCCTCATTAAGTTATTTTGTGGGAGGAGTCTTGTCAATCCAACCCACTTTTTTTTTTTAAATGGACTAAAAAAAATTTTGTTACTGTTGACATTTTCATGATGTCTGTTAATAAAAAAGACCTATTATTCAGGTGCTTGTGTGAACGTTTTAATATTGATCAGTGATGCCGCGGCGTTTACGCAAATTGGTGTGAAACTGATTCATTAGGACTCGTCACAATGAGTCATAATGATAACGAACGCTGTGGAAGATGCTGTTAATAGGACATGAATCACAAACCATGGGAAATAAGTGTTTAATAATAATAATAATAATAATAAAAAACACCAATGATAAAGGAAGCAAAATGTACAAATCTCCAAAAAGGAAAAGCTGGAATATTAATACTGACATTTAATGAACCCTGACGAGTCTGGAGCTAAAAACATCCACTTCATACGTGTATGACTCAAACCTGCGAAACCTAAACTACACTTATGGTGCATTTGATTAGAGCTGCAGTGGTTAGTCAATCGACAATTAATCAGAAATTATTTCAACTTTTTTCAAGCTTCTCAAACAGGAATTAGCTTCTTTTTTTTGGTCACATAGTAAATCGAATATCTTTTGGATTCGTTTGGTCAAGTGAAACGAGACGTTTGAAGCTGTGACCTCGCGGCTGTGGGAAATTATAACGAGTATTTTCATTGACAAAACAGTTAATCAAAAAAAAAAAAAGCAGATTAATCAATAATGAAAGTCGTCATTAGTTGCAGCTCTACATTTGATCCCTTTCCTCCTTCTCAAAAACAAATGAACATGCATCACAATTAGTTGAAACCCAACTTTGCAGTTATGAACCCTAACATCTAAAGTATTTACAACAACACTGTGACCTCTTTAAACAAAGTAAATGTTTCCCTTTCATAGTGTTTAAAGAGAACTCCACTGATTTAACATTTGCACTTCTGAACGTTTCATTTTACAGGTTCATTATTTCCTGGAGAGAACATGTCGTTTGGTGCTAATCGCTATTTACAGGAGGAATCGGTTATTTAAGTGAGTTCATGAATTTCCATTGAGAAGTTGCTCCATTTAAACCTCAGTAAGTATCTTAGTATTTATTCATTTATTAAAGGAAACTTTTGAAGTTTCTCAAGTGTAAAATCAGTGGAGTTCCCCTTTAAAAAAAAAATACTGTCATCATCATCATCATCATCATTTCTATACAACAATGGATTTGTCTCTGAAGAACCTCGTCCATCACAGAGAAAGTAGCAGGTGCGTTGCCGAGCAGCTAGACCCATCCAGACCCAGACGGTCCCCAAGAGAGAGAAGCTCAAAAATAAAGTCCCTATTGACCCCCCCACTGTACATGCCAGACACCAACCAGTACGAACAAAACAAAGCAATTTCAATATGTTATAAAATATCACTAGAGCTGCACAATTAATTGAAATTGCAATATGGCCAAGTGCAAAATCCAAATTGCAGGAGCTGCAAAAATTAAAAAGAATTAAAAAAATAAAAAAAAATTCTATGATAAAAGGTAAAATGTGTCCCATTGTTGTGCATTGTTAGCACCGTAAGTGTTGTGGTGCTACAGAGACGCCCCCTGCCGACAGATCATCATATCCTCCAGACGTAAAGGAACATGTTTGTTAAAAATCACATCATCATGAAAATGAAAAATGCAAACACGACCGTTCCAACTGAAATATCTTCCCAAATAATCACAATATGATTTTCTTTTTTTTTTGTTTGCATATTGTGCAGAGCCAAATATCAACAGACTTGTCCTTCGAAGCGTGCAGCCGCTTCCCCGAGCTTTTCTGTGGGACCTTCTGAAGCCAGTACCATACACGCTGCAAAGCAATAAGCAGCAATTAACAGGTTAAACATGAAGCACCACTGCTGACCACATATTAAATAACACTTTCAAACATGTGATGAGTCGTAACCATTTCCAGAACGATTATGAAACGGCACCAGTCAGGCCTCCTTCGATTGATATGAGACATCTCCAGTTTACGGCCACGAAAAGTCACTAACACAGAGCCGCACAACCCTCCGCTCTCATCGTCTGTATGAATGAACCTTCACCTCCTCTGAGGCCGTCAGACGTCGGCCTGCAAACTGTCAGTACCACTGCGCACAGGAAACTGCAACACGGATAAATATTCACATCCTGCCTCAGGCTACGAGCAGAGAGAGGGAGCTGGGCCGGACCTGTGTCACCTTCACACACACGAGAAGCTGAGATGAAAAGGTGTTAAAACATCTTCAAGTGTCAAAAAAACAAAGATGCCTCAAGGAGAGATGTGAGGATGTTTTTCAAATGAGAAAAGTGTTAAGCTGTGAAGGAATGCAAAAACCCAGACACAGAACCTGTTTCCCTCATTTCACCACCGGTGTTTCCATCTTGTGCAGAAAAGTGTTTGTGCTTATTTTTTTTAATACTGTGATAATTTCCCTCGTGACGACCTGAACTGATCAGAGAATGGATTTAAATATGTGTGAAGTTTCTCTCCCCAACGAATCTTGATGAAAGTGTGGACGCATTCCACTTCTGATAAAACCTCATTATGGCTTCGTTAAAAACATTTTTTTTTTAAAAGTGCCGAGTTCTTCTACATTAAAGTCTTTGTTAAAAAAGGAACGTGATGATCAAAGTTCATGTCTCTCTCCTCGGGTTTCGTCTCCGGTAACCCAACACCGAATTAATCCTGAACTTAACTCCCGCCCTCACATACAGGTGACCTCAGCCTTCCCCTCCTCCTGCTCGAAGCCGCCTTCCTCCAGGTGGGACAGGGCGCTGGGATACCCCCCTCCGAACACGGGGAACCCCCCGATGCCTCCTGCGGTGGGGGAGAGCTCCTCCGGAGGGACGGGGCTGCTGACAGCACGGCTGACGGAGCGGCTGGACACGTCGCCGTGCACCGACAGAGCCTGGAGACGAGGAGGGAAACCAGACGGCCATGAACATTAAACTACAGTACATTACATTTTGGTTTGATTCTTGGTTTGAAGTCTAACAGAAGACAGAGACGCTCGTCACAATGAGAACAGACTTTTCCCAGACTTCTTTATTAAATTTCTGCCCTCAAAATATAATTATATAAGTTTTTTATTGTTTTATTATTCCAAATCAGTGATGCGACACGGTCTGTGAGCAGGTCTTAGTGACCCAGGAGGCGTCTCGAAGTTTCTCCTGTCCTGGCAGGATTTACTTTTATCCTTAGGGTGTTTCCTGAGCCCTTACCTAGGCCCTCTCCTGCCCTCTGTTAACCTCCACTTCACTCTGAGCACCCACAGTTCACTGCAAGTTAACTGCAGTTTTGATTTTGTCCACCAGGGCGCAGTGTGGCCCCAGAAATAACAGCTTTCCCCTGCAGCAACAGACTGAGGGATTCAGTCAGTCTTCATCATGGACGGGTCAAACTGACTAAATAAATAATCGCCTTGTTTTTCACCAAATGCCTGAAAGTGACGGCTGTAGGAAAAGGTTTATCCATAATATATTATATTATTATATATATGTTATTTTGAGCAAGTTAAAGATTTATTTATTTATTTTTGGTTGCTTGGGAACACAACACGGACATATCATCACTTTTTAAAGAGGATATTTGTAAGTTTTCTCTTCTGCTGAATGTGATTTATTGCAGGTGGTGGTGGTGATTGTTAAGCTAACTGGTTAGCATGCTAATCTCAGTGGAAGGAAAGACGTGATAAAGACAAGAGTTAACATTGGTGTTGCTTTCCACCTCTGGAGACAGCTGTTGCTGAGTAAAGGAATGAAGTTTGATGCTGAACTGAGTAAACAGCTGCTAATGCTAACGCTAGCTATGTAGCAATAGCAAAACGACGCTATAAGAGCGGTGGAAGAGAACCACAACAGTGAGTCTGTGTCCAGAAAGATAAACAATGAGCATAACTCTTATATAGCTACATTTGAGGGGTCGGCTGCAACAGAAGTTTGGTTTATATTGGTTGTAAAATAATGTTGAAAAGCTCCTGCTCTCACCTGGTTCCTCTGTTGTCCAGATGTTTGACTTCTGACCGGCCTCTGGAGAAACACCACCTGCTTTGTGGCCAGGTTCCCGTCACTGCAGACGTAAACACAGACGGATGGGTGTGATATTAATACACGGCAGACATTAATAACAGTATGACGGAGACGGTGCGTTGCAGCTACCTGTCGTGTCGGATGATGGGCGTGGGCAGCACGCATGTGAGCAGCCAACCGAACTCAGCCAGAGTGTGAAGGAGGGGCCCGTAGTCAGTTTTCACATTGGAGCCCTGGATATAAACACAACATACACGTATGTAAGAGACACGGAGACATGCAGTAGTAGTGTCTGGCTTAGAAACTTCTACATATATCATTCTTTGATTTTAGTGTTATGGGAGCCAGTTTCTTTTAGGTTTAGTTCAGGTCAGGAGTAATATGGTAATAAGGAGTAATAAGGTAATAAGGAGTAATATAGTAGGAGTAAGGAGTATTTTTTGTGATGCTCGTTTTCAATGCAGCAGTAACAAGTGAAGTTCAATAAAGGTTTATCTTATAAACAAAGTGTCTGAAGCGTCAGCCTAAAAGCTGCTATGGGTAAGTGAGATAAAGACTCCGCCGTCTGTTCACTTCTCCTCGTCAGTCTGTCACTGACCTCGATCACTGTCCACTGCTCCACCACGATGGTGTCGTTGGCGGGAGGAGAGGTGCTCCTCTCTTCATACACAAACAGCCCCTCCAGTGATCTGGGCACCGGCTCACCTGAGAGACACACACACACACACACACACACACACACACACACGGTCACTGCATTGTCAGGTAGCAAATACAAGACGACACACAGCATCTCCTCACAGCAGCTGAGGAGTCAGGTCAGAGAGAGAGAGAGAGAGAGAGAGAGAGAGAGAGAGAGAGAGAGAGAGAGAGAGAGAGTCATTGGGTTGATAATGACCCAGTTATTAAATATAGATTAAACTCCCGTGTGTTCGTGTGAGAAATCAGTGTCGTGAGGAGAGTTGTGTTGCCGCCCGACTGATGCGTCGACAGGCAGACTCAGCTGAACAGCAGATGAATGTGTATCTGTGTTTATAACAGCTGATAAGTGACACAGACAGAAGGTTGACTTGTGTTACTACCAGCTGAGCCACTACAAAGCACTGCGACTCCACTCTCGGCAACACACTGGTCCTTGAACGCATCACGGCTCAACTGACTTGTGTAAATTAAAGGTCCCATATTTCCCTCTTCTCCTGTCTACAGATAATGTGGATGTCTGCTCTTCTGCAGAGGAACAGGAAGCGAGGTCACCGAGGTCGGGAAGACAGCGCCAAATATAGACGCAATGGGAAAGAGAAGCCAAAACAGGAAGGGGCGGTGTGTATGTGTGAATCAGGTTTTTAATGGGAAAAGATAATAATGCAGAAGGAGGAAGACGAGGAGGCGCATCAGCCGTCCTCAGGCTTTTCAACCTCAGTCTGCTTCTTCTTCTCTGCCTTTACTTGCAGGCTGGAGTCTGTTACCGCCGTCGGGCCGACATCACACCAACCTTTAGGCGTGTCCCAGTAGACGAAGGAGTCCACCAGCGACCAGCCCTTGCGGTAGTAGGCGGCCGTCAGCTCCAGCCAGTCGGCCTCCAGGGCGCTGACCACCTGACCCTTCCTGGAGACGCGCATGGAGAGCGCCCCCTGGTGGTACTGACAGGCCAGCGAGTCCAGAGGAGCACAGCCCGGAGCCCAGGAGTGGAAGAAGACCAGCAGCCTCAGGTCTGCAGAGAGGGAAGCCATTGATTTTCAAATTATTGGTGCTATTATTATCATCACAGTATTATTAGACTAAACTAGAGTCACCTCCTCCTGGTCGTATCCCTCCGCCACTAGTTACAGGTTACATCTGTTTATCCAGAGTCATAAAATATGAATCATCTGTGTGAAAGTTTGTCGTAATTGCTGTGTGAAGTCTTGGGTAATGGTTAAAAAGTGTTTTGAGGTCACCTTGACCTTTGACCTTTGACCACCCAAATCTCATCAGTTCATCCTTGAGTCCAAGTGAAGGTTTGAGAAGTTCCTTCATGGCGTTAATGATATCGTGTCCAGGAGAACCGGACAGACGGACAACCTTAAACAAAACCGCGCAGGTATAAAAAGGTGACATCATATGAAGAGCAGAGAGCGTCTCACCTGGACTGTAGGTGTTCTCCTCCAGCTCTCTGTCTCCAGGTGGGGTTCGGGGAGGGGTGCGTGGAGGGGAGCGACAGCCCCTCTTCGGACTGTGCACCCTGCCGTTTGTGATGCCGCTCACCTGCTGGAGGACGGAGCCGACGAATCGAACGCCCCCTCGGGCGCTGCTGTTCACCTGCCGGCGAAAACAACAAAACAAACACGCCCAGAGTCAGCTGCTCTGTAACCGTCCAGTGCTGCACAGCAAGAGACACCGCAGAACAAAATTACACCAGACATTTCATTCTAACGAATATCAATAACTAATCAATCACAGAGTTAACAGGATTATGTAAATCTGGATTAATTAAACCAGACCGTCACTGACCCTGTCGATGAGCGCTCTGACAGTGTCACCTGTCAGGGAGTCTCCAGGTAGAGGCCACTCCTCCACCCTCAGCACTGGCACGCTGTGACACATGGACGCCGTCTGCTTACTGCAAACACACACACACACACACACACACACACACACACACACACACACACACACACACACACACACAGAGACTGACGTGGGGAGTCTGTGGGTTCGAACCCGTCCAGCTGGAGGGTTCATAGTTCACTTGTTATCGTCACATTCATCATTTACAGGCTCAGCAGGAGACGACCACAGCGACTGTCTGACAGTTACACAATAATTAAAACCTAAACTTAATTTCATCTGATTTTTAAAGATGACATTTAAGAAAAACAGCCACATGAAATATTAGTTTGTCTTAAATAAATTTGCATATTAAGTACCATCAGTGACATCACCTACACTTTTCTTCCAATTAAATGACATCATCACAGTGACAATATCCCGAGCTATCAGACCACAGCGATCACAGATACTTTGACTCCATTGGCTGCTGTGGGACCCCTGTTGTCGGGTGGGTTTCTGCCCAATAGAAATCATGGTAGACACGAGTCAAACCAAAACATACCCCCCCCCCCCCACCCCCCCCCCCCCCCCCCCCCTTCTCCAGACACGCCAGTCTGACCTCCTACCAGAGTTCTGCATTAAATATGAAGCGACTTCATCCATCATTCATCTATTTACTCGACAGTGTGAGGGGGACTGGGGGAGGAGGGGGGGGGAAGGATTGGGGCGTCACTCACATCTTTATTGACCTTCATCATCCTACTTAATGTTACTTCCTGTTAATGACTCGTGGTACCTGGGTCTGGGACGGGCCAGGATGGCGCGGTACAGCAGGCTGAAAGGCAGCGAGCGCGTCCGGCCCACAGACAGGATGATGGGGTGCAGGGCGGACAGGACGTAGCCCTGCGTGTAGTAGGGCTGCAGGGCCTGCGGCAGCTCGGACAGCGAGGCCACGTACTGGACGGTCGGGCGGCTGCCTGAGGAGGAGGAAATGGAAAGTCAATAAAGATGCATTCTATAATGAGCAGATAGATCAGCACGTTAACGAGGCTGTGAGGGAAAAACATTAATACTTGTGAAATCATCTGGAAAACATCTGTATTGTGTGATCATCTGCATAAACATATGAAATACGTGATTACACTGGAAGGCAGCACAAAGTTGCAACACCCGGACTGTTTCACACACACAGACATGATTTTAGTCGTCAACCCCAAAAATATTTTTGTGGTTTTTCATTTCCAAACTCTGCGTGTTTCCTCCTTCACTCAAAAATGTGTTTTTCTCTTATTGTTGCATCACTCGGATGTTTGAGCTTCTCCGTGCAGAGTTTGACACTAAGAGGCTGTTTTCACATTCAGCTACTGAAGAGGGAAAGTTTCTCTGTGCTCACCTTCAATCTCAGGTTCAGACCTCTGATCTAGTGAAATCACATCTGGTCTGAAGCCAATCGTGGTTCAATAAATGTGAAAGGTGAAACTTTTCCAGAAGTTAAAGCTCCATCTTTTCCTCTTCTTCTGTGTTTTATTTGAATTTTATTTGATTTGTTGTTTTAAGAAGCAAAAACCATCTCAGTGTAGTTTCACATCTCCTCTCTCAGGCTTCTCTCTGGAGCTCTAGTAACAACAGGTCGGTGAGCCAATCAGAAGAGAGGAGGCTCTGAGCTTATCTTCTGATTGGCTGACTGTTTTCTGAGTGATCTAATAAAAATAAAGCAGATTTCAGGTAAAAACACTCAGAGAAACCAAATCCTGCAAGGTTTGGATGGTGGGTCCAGGTGGGCGGGGCTTGGTGACTGCTTTGTTGTGACATCACAAAGTTCCAGAAGTCCTGACGGCTGGTTTTAAGGCTCAGTTTCTGAATACAGGCTGTGTGCATTTCTCTGTGGACTGAGGCTTTGATACTTTCACAGTATTAATATAGAAGCTAGAGCTGATCTATAATCACACTACACATGGACACAGACCTTTACACTGGAGGAGCTTTAAAAAGAAAATATTTGCGTATTCATAGATTCTGGATTTTTCAATGAGGGTAAGTATATAGTATCTTTATGTCTTAAACCATGTCTGGAGGGCATCTTTAAATATTCTGTATGATTTATATTTAAGCATTATTAATTATCATTAATCATCATTAATTACCAATTATCCTTAATTCTCTGATCTGTTTTCTGCTTCCCAGCTCTCCAACCTTCATCCCACTATAGATCACTGCCAATAAAGTCTCCATTCGTGGAAAAAACACAAGTCAGTAATGCGTCCACATGTGTCGGTGCAGCGAGGATGAAAGTCCAACAGGATGAGGAGAAGATGTGTTTCCAACAAGAAGCTGACAAAAATCACGATCCTGCTGTCTGGGAAAGTTTTCCTCTTCCTTCCTGTGTAATGACTTTAACATCACTATTCCCCTGCCGTTACTGAAGTGAGTAACACACACACACACACACACACACACACACACACACACACACACGGTCTGTCAGGCAGGAATGCAGATGATGATGATGATGATGATGAAGATGGAGCAAACTATTTATTTTAATTTCAGTTACATGTTGTATTTGAGTCAGACGGTGATGTTTCTGTCACATGTGGAAACACTCATTAAAAACACACACTTCTGCATATATGGTCAAAACAAACGCTGCAGTGGGAAACTGACGTCACACCACGTCTCTGACGACATGAAGAAGAAGAAGAAGAAGAAGAAGAAGAGTTTTACCATCCAGATGTCACGGTCCGTCTGCACTATAAAAAAAGCAACCGCCACTAACCCCGGCACGCTGAGCAAACCACACTCTTACGTAAAGGTTTTATATATGGACACGAACTATCAGCATGTTTTTAGTGCTGTGGTGTGATGTGGTGAGACTGGTGCTCACACACCCTCCACACACAGTTCGCTTTCACAAAGATATTTTACTGTTGGTCCAGACTTCATCAGTCGAATACCAGAAAGATCGTTTCCACAAAAATAAAGACGGATTCATTCTAACACACGAGACACGTTACGTAAACGCCAGGCTTCAGATAGAGACGTCTCAATTCATCCGCCGCACAAAGCAGTTTAGGTCTTGACCATCTTAACTTACCCAGAATGCATTGTACCACAGTCCAGATTAAGACTTTTTCCAAATAATAATAAAAAATTAAAAAATGGCCGACAGAGAAACCGCATCCTCAGCAGACAATGTTTGTCTTTTGGAAGAATTCAAGGAAATTTTACTTAAAGATTGAAACAATAAAAAAGAAAAATTCTCTTCCTCTTCACCACAAATCATGAGCCATGTTTTCGCTGTCGCGCAGATGTCACTGATTGTTACCATGGTAACATTGGTCTGACTGACATTAGACTGATCTGTGAGTGAAATGAAGACTACCATGGCAACAATCACTGACACCTGTGCTGACCAGCATCACCCGGTAGTGTGGGCGCACACCTGTCTCCCCCTCCACCTGACGGAGCAGCTGACCCACCCCACACTGAAAATATATCAACATAACAAGCCTGCAGACACTGAATAATCAGAAACCTGGACAATTAATAAAAACATTTGACTAAGATACTGATGATATAACAGTCTTTAAAAAGAACAAGGGTTCATTCAGGTCTGTTTTTATCAGCTGAGCCACGTCTGTAAAATCTCATGTCGACCTGGATAAAGTTTTTCATGCTTTTATAAAAAAAAACTAAAATGTCTGCAATTAGTGTGAAACGCAGCTGCTCGGCTTTTAACTGGAATTACGGGAAGAGAACACATTAGCCCAGTTTTAGCAGCCGATCCCTCAGAATTCAGTTTAATAAGTGGAACCAAACCGCAGCTTCTTCCTCAGGTGAAAACACCTTTTTAAACTGGCTCTTAACTGACGTGTTCACTGGAATTATCATGTCGCTTTATTCATTATTTACATGTCATTCTTCAGGTTTTTACTGTGCAGTTTTAATCCTGTAACTCATGACATTTGAAACTGCGTTAAGAAATGTCAAACAGATCTTTGGCTCGTTATCATCGCAATTAACATCCTACTGTAACTAATTATGATGAAATCTACTGTATGTTAAATGGATTTATGTCTCTATTTATTGTATTATTTTGTTTTTACGATGTTTATTGGTTGAGTTGACGACCGCTACAAACCAAACTGCCCCTCAGGGACGATAAAGCTTTTCTAATCTAATCTACTCAGATAAAAGTTATCATCATCATCATTATCATTATCATCCGTCATGTGTGTTGACATGTATTTATCCCTTTCCTCTGTGTCAGACGTGTAAAGACGACGCTCGGTGTTTGTGAGCTGAACGAGTCTCGGGCTGTTTTTCTTTTTTCTGGAAACTCTGGCTGGAAATCCCTGTGACCATCACCATACTTCCTGTGTCCACAAAGAGTGGCTGTTCACAGAGAGGCTTGGCTATGTGCCTCATGAACACACACACACACACACACACACACACACACACCATTTAAAGCATTTCAAATACCCTAAATTGTGCATTTTGGATGCAGCAAGATTAAGAGAAAGAAAAATCAGGAGACAGGGAAAGCATGAGTGTGTGTGTGTGTGTGTGTGTATGTGCGTGTGTGTGCGACGGCATTCCTCACTACAACCCCCCACATTCTCACGGACAAACACCCCAGAGATCGGGGAGACCGGCTCACAGCTAAGATCCCTGCGCCCTGTGAATGGGCCGTCTGGCTCCATTATGAGACTGAAGACCAGCAGAACCTCAATGAGACCAGTAAACACAGCTCCAGTTTACTGGCATTCCTGTGGGTTTAAACCCCACTGCAAACGCTCGAGGTGAATCTAAATTTAACACAGGCTTACATGTTGCAGCTGGTGGATAAAGTTGAAGCTCTGGCATCACACGGGTGGAGAAATGAGGGCTGGAGGAGCCGGGGCGTCAACATGGAGAAGGGGCCTCAGAAAAACCTCTATTTTCTAATGGGGGGGGGGGGGCTGTTCCCACGTCGTACAAACTCTGATAAAGATTCACTACCTGTGATATTTAGCATTTCAAATGAAAACCTGCACAGAGCTTCACCCGTCAGATCCGTCATCTCTCCAACACTTCATCAATTTCAATTCTAAATAATCAAATAAAATTCATAATGTACAATCAGTTTTTTTATCATGTCCAATTCTTCCTTTTCTTTAGGGGCAGGTTTTCTAATTTAAAGTTCTGGTTCTTAACAATAAACTGAAAATTATCAATAGTTACATTAATATTAATTAATATCTGCTGTGTGTGATGGCAAGTAGCCTATAGATTAGATTTTGTGTCTCTTTATGGTCAAGTTGCTAATATCTGTCTCTCTATGGAGAATGTCAACAAGCCATCCTGTTGTACTTTTCAGTTTATCATGGTTTGCTCTCGTCCGTCAGACCAGGTCTGCGTATAAACCTCTCCTGTCACATCTGTTTTATTTCTGTCATGTGGTTTGATGCTGAACGTGCACAATTAATAAAAAGAGACTTCCTCTCCTTCACAGTCGTCCAGTCAGACGTGGAGCGCCGGCAGCCAACAGGCCGCCACACAGCAGCTGATGTCTCCCAGGAGGACCATGATGTCATACACACCTCCAACCAAAGCTTTTGTTTCAGCCCTTTGCTCTTCTCCTCCCCTGCTTTCAGTCCTCACACCCCTCTCCTCCCCCCTCCTCCCCCCTCCCATCCTGCTGCCACTCGCCCCGTCAACCGGCACACTGAGGCCTCTGTTAGAGCTGTGTGGGAGAAAAAAAGGGGGAGGAGGAGAGGAGGACTTGCAAAGGGGGGGGGGGGGGGCTCAAGAGGGG